AACAGAGAAATCATATTGAACGAAAAATGGACCTTGCGAAATAATTACGCTTTCGTTTTCTAATTAATCAAATCTGAAAGTACTATAATAACGAAAGTGAAAGTATTTGGCAGTTGTTAGGAATTCCTCAAAACAAGTGTCACAATGAATGTCACCATACCATCCAATCCCATATTGATGACGTAATACGTGTAGCCCGCTTTTGGGAAAATAAAATATAACATGACACCATTAATTATGCTAAGAACGATAGCTTTGGAGAAACCCCCAAACTGTTAGTGGATATCCCAAATTATTTCACATTTATATACCAAATTAACTCTAACTAGTGTAAAATAGGCGTTCTTTCATCATATTACAATCGATTCCTCATATTAATACACATATATGACAACAATAACGTATAATGCTTTCAAGAAATAAGTAAAAAAACGGCAATGGTATCGCCTCTTATTAAATACACAGGACGAAACGTTCTGAAAATTGCTAAAAGTAGGGGTCATTGTAACAGCTCCCACTCCGTCAATATTTTATCAATTTACATTTTCCTCACATTGATTGAAAGATGAATATCCACTCTAAATGTATAGGCTAAATAAAGAAAAGTATACACATAGTTATATACAACCTTTAATACATACGCATGCCCCTTTATTTTTCTAAAAATCAACATATTTAAAATAATTGCATTCTTAAATATTAGCCTTGTTCAAGGTATACAAATAGTTTCATTTATTTTTTTATTTTGAATGGTGATAAGAGAGCAAATCTATCCATTTGCAATTGGGCCTACTATACCAAACATAATTTGATAACATTTGCTTGAAAAAACATGTTTTTGTTATTGCATTTTAAGCAGTTTCACGTCGACAATTACTAGATTATAGTATATTCATTTGATAAGAATGCAATTAATTTACCCGAAACATTGTGTTTTATATAATTGTCACACATCTCTCCTTCGTTTTGTTTAGAAAGTTATGTCATTTAGTTGTCCTATACCTCAAAACATGAAATACTAACGTTTTTCCCAATTTGCAAATATTTGTACCTGTCAAGTCTTTACTTTTTATCACATATTTGCATTGTGCACATTTCGTGTATTTCGTGCATCTTATCAAATGATTTTTAAAACATCGATATATTGATAGGAACAGGGGCAAAAGCAGCTAAAGCTGGGTTATACAAGGTGGTATTCTTAAGACAACGTTTACTGTGTTTCTGTATCTTATACCACATAATTTGACATAAATGCATATTTCGTGTATGGTATCAAATGATTTTTAAAAAATCGATATATTGATAGGAACAGGGGCAAAAGCCGTTAAAGCTGGGTTATACAAGGTGGTATTCTTAAGACAACGTTTACTGTGTTTCTGTATATTATACCACATAATTTGACATAAATGCATATTTCGTGTATGATATCATCTTATTTATTGATAGAACATTGGCAAGAGGCGCTACAGTGGGGTAACACAAGGTAGTAGTATTCTAAAATGCTGATATGAAGCATTGTTTTCAGTAATCAATCACTCTATTACATTGGGAAACGTGTTTGTAAAATAAAATAAGTGAATTTGTAAGGAAAATGCTGCTATAATAGCTGACCTTTATCCTCAATTCATCAAGATATCCAACTAAAACAAAATGGTGGACGACAGGAAAAATTTCAAGACCCAAATATAAATGCTGAAAAAAGCAGATTTGAATCACTGTTTCCAGTAATCAATCTCTTATTACATTTTAAAGTGTTTTGTCAAAGAAAACAAGAGAATAGGTAAAGAAACTGCTGACATAGTCCTGATTTTCATCTTCAATTTATCATGGTATCCAACTACAGAATTTTGAATAGGTTTCAGCTGTGAGTGAGGTTTGCCTTATCGAAATGAAAAATTAAAAAAAGGAAACCGAACGCACATTTATTGGGGTACACAGAAAGCTGTGGTGGATCCAGTGTGGGGAAAACATTTTTAGAACCTCAAAAGTTTTTGGGCCCAGACATTTTGTAGGGCCTCAAAAAATTAAATGGGAACATTTTTTCCTGACTCACAATTCCTCCTCCCCCCTTGTCAACTTCTGGATCCGCCACTGATATAAGCATCTAATGTGAGAATAAACAGTGTCCAGCGGCCCCCTCCCCTTCCACACATGATTCCGCATCAAAGACCAGAACTCCAAGGGACATTTCATTCATACTGAAGTCATTAAAGTCATTAATAAAAATTGAAAAGATTGATAGTCTATCCAACACTCATAACATCAAAAATAGTTGTAGATACTTGTACTCATAAAAGAGCAGATACAGTTTGTTCAACGAGAAGCAAGCTGTCTAGCCTGCACACAGAGTCTAGTTATAAAATACAGCCGAAGCTCTCTTTTAAGAAGTGAAGTCGAATGCAAAGGGTACAAGCTGTCTCGTAGCCAGATATAATCAGGCTATGCGAATTGGCTCTGTAACCACAATGTTGCGAGTTTGAGACACGTGCGCGCTTTGTGTTTATCCAAGACTGCACTAAAACAGTGTAGTGTCGAATCGATATAATTAGGGGTTTGGCTGACTCTAACTGAAAGGACACTGCTACAATCACTGTTCCACAACTAGTTACTTTGATAGAACGTCAATGTAACAAAATGGATGAACTTCCTGGTTACGAGTTTTTTTGTTTTCTCGATTAAAACCTACTTATAAGTCAAGTTGCAGATTATAATTTGGCACAAAGCTAGAAAATATAGTCTAGTTTTAATAAGTTTCCTTGATTTGTTTTGTAAATGGAGTTGCAATTCATATATTTAGTCTCCCGCTTTTGTTATATTGACGGAACTCGGTTATATTACCAATGGAGGTTTATACTTTGACAACTTACGTCAATTAAAAAAGCGACGGTCTAAATGCATGAATTACAGCTGTAATATTGTCTAACTTTGTGCCAAATGATAATCCGCAACATGACTTATACATAAGTTTAAATCGAGAAAAAATCGTATCCAGGATTGACAACTGAAAGATATTATATTTAAAACATTATTAATATGATGTCCGACAGTCGAAAAATCAATTTATTCTCTCATTCGGTCGTATTCTTAAGTTTTTCCCCCATGTATAATAAATTTGGCCAAGGAATTATCTACACCTCCTTCCTTTCGTCAGTTGATCACAGGAAATTGAAAAGAATCTGATTTTCTGATATCACGCAAATCATTTCTCCTCGTATTTAGTCTCAGAAATAGTTTCGTCTTTTGTATAGTTCACTGCGAATACTTGCCACGTGACTTCCCGGGGCGGGACATACCAGAGAACGGCTTATGCCGGGACATATGATTTATATGTCCCGGTTCCTAGTTGAAAAATATTTGCCCGGCTATCGGATTTTTTAATTTTTGATTTCGATAAGGCAAACCTCACCCACAGCTGAAACCTATTCAAAATTGTGTTGTTGGATACCATGATAAATTGAAGATGAAAATCAGGACTATGTCAGCAGTTTCTTTACCTATTCTCTTGTTTTCTTTGACAAAACACTTTAAACAATGTAATAAGAGATTGAGACTGCTGAAAACATATGTAAATATTATCGTGTCACTATATTGTACCATTTAAAAAAAATAAAACAAATGGTACATTTTGGAGTATGATACTGCGGCGCCGATTTCAATAGCTTTTACTCTTACCGTTGTTGGACTCCAAACAGAAGTTAAAGTTACCCGCAAATGATATATCCATTGCATGGAGTAGGTAATTTTCTTTGATATAGCGAAACATATGAGTAAAAAATAAAAAGCGTGGCTTTCCTTGTGTTTCTATCCCGGTTTCTATGCAAAATAACACGTTCCGTCACAGCGGACAAATTTTTCGATACCAGCCGGTGTCTTTGAATAACACAGAAAAACAATTAGTTAAAGCAGACGTTATCAAGAGCGAATTCATTCATAGCATCGAGTGAACCATTTTGCCAAAAGGGTCTAATCTTTGTCCATTTTACTACGTTTGTTCAAAAGATGATGGATATTTTTTGTAGAGAATAGAGCTTTGATACGAAAGCAAAATAAATCAAAACGACAAATACTGTTACATAATACATCGTCACCTTTTAGTCTTACACATCTTGTAATGTTTATTAGACTGTAATTCTCTAAACTATATAAATACAAAGCTTTATACAACATCTATATAATTCATTAGTTTACATATACAGTAGCACTCATATACTGTACAATCTCACGATACGCGTGTATATATGCTAAACCACCATGCATAAGTTTGGCAACCAAGAATGACCCCCTCGTCCAGCGTGTTTAACACTTTTTATGTCGAATCCTAATCTTATTGCTCAACCACAAAATATAGGAATCCAAGTTAAAGTTCATCACTTTGTTGAAATCATCAAACCTAACACGACATATCGACCACAAAGTGACTCCCAGTTGCCAAACTTTTGAAGGGGAGTGTACATTATAAGAGCATATATTATACGACAAAATGTACAGTGCTCATACAGTATCATCCATATGAGCTCAAAAATATATAACGCATGTAAATATTAGCCTTTTTCATTCTTGGTACTATCCGAAAGGCATGTTTTACTTTTTGTATATTTGCAATTGACTTATATACAAGGGGCGATCCATATATTGAAATAAGGTTGCCATGGTAACCTGTATTTAGGGTAGTTAGGTCGGTTAAATTATCAGTTTTAATCAGAATATAAGATAACCCCTTGTATTATCATTGTTCGTTTTTATAGCAGTAGCCTAAATCGCCATCAGTGCCATGTGTAGCTAGATTTGAACTCATAGTCACAACTCTCTCAGTTGGGTATCGTCCTTGCATATTGGTAGGTCAAGGGGGTTGGGATCACTTTTCTTACATGTGAGGAAGACAATGGAATTAATGAAGCTTGGAGGAAGGAAATTGACGAATTTGTTCATAAACTCAGGCTACAGGAACGTTGCTATAGAATAAGTCACTCTGTAATTCAGAATAGTAAACAATTAGTTCCCAGATCTTTGGCTTCACTGATACATCCCCTCTGAAAGTTTAGGAACACAGGCCCGTTATCAGATAGGGTTGACATTTTTCGATTACAATTGGTCGAAAATATACTGCATGGAAAATGATGAACAATTATAATGGAATCGCCGAGCGTAAATAGGCCTTTCTCCAATTTTGTCCAATGATTTCCCATCTAGGTTGTCAAACCTTTAGAAGCGAGTGCAACTTCCTGCGCCTGCTATGACCATATAACACCACTCGACATTTAATACTCGATTGTCATTACATTTAATCTCGTATGTTCGCAAAATCAGGCCCATAGCATTCTCACTCTGATGCAAGCCACGAGAGTTCAAGCTAAAATGTGTTCAATGTTTTATATGATGTCCTTGGAAAATAATCGTATCATGTGTTGTAGACTTATTGAATTTGGATTACAGTATCGATATATCACAGGCGACCATGTATCTCAAGAAAGTTCACCATTGGAACGTCCCCATCTTTAAAATGTAAAGATGATTATCATTTCCATTTCGTCTGTACACGTATCACTTAAATATGAGTTGCACTAAAATATGATCCATTTGGCATTTGATAACCAAAATGGGCAAATTCACCGCCGATCCATAGTTCTCAACGTCTTGAACAATGTCGGTCAGTAGGTTCGAGAAGTTGTAATGTTAAAACTCGGCCTTTTTTACTTCTCGCATTTGTAGTTCATCTGCAACGTGAGAGGGCGTTTCTTCCGGCGAAATCATCTGATAGAGACGCTGAAATCGGAATAACAAATGAAACAGTTGATGAAGATGAGAAATAATTGCAATCAATCGAAAATGATCGTACAGAAGACAGTGAAATGGAACAGATATTCGGGGCTTTAAATACGGCGATTTGAGTAGTTGAATATAAATACGATCTCAGGGGCGGATCTGGGAACCAACAAGTTAAGGGGGGAGGCAAATTTCAGTTCACAGAAAAAAACTTGTTTGGCCCCTAAAACCCAAAAGTGGGTCCAAATTTTGAAATTCTCTCCAAAATTTGACCTGAAATTTAAAAAATGTAATGACCAAAAAGGCCCACTTTCTTGGCCTAAAATCTTTTTTGGGCCCAATTCTTTTTTCTGCCCCCCCCCCCAGATCTGTAAGTGGATCTCGTACTTGATAACTATGCTCGTCAATATATACACCTACGATCTTGATGTATATATGTATATTAGGGAGATTAGCTACATGTTCTTTAGAGAACCTGTACGTGAATTACGTGTTGAAGTATGTTCCTCTAGAGATTAATTCCCCCTTCATAGTATCCATATTATTTACTTGCCCGATTAAGAGTGTAATAATATTAAAATAGTTGTAATACACGTAACGTCCCCGTAAAAGCCAATTGAGACGGGGAGCATGAATCAATAGGGTCATAATATTACACGTTCGCGTACAAGTTCTCGTATAGCTAATAAATTCACTATTGTTTCTTGACCTGTACGTTTATGTCATGTTTCTTTTTGATAAAACACCCGCTGATGAAATGTTGAATGAGAATGGTTGAATGAACGGATGCTAAAACGTTTTACCTGTTTTATATCGCCTTTAGAAATGATGAACTTGTATATAATGTATATAGGAATGGGTACAATTGAAGCACACGTGACAGACCAGCCTACTGAGATGGCCCATGGTGGGTAGGTATATGAACCTATCTTTAGGGGAGCGTAGAAGTAACAGCTTAGGATAAATAATACCTGAAATGATAAAATATTTTTTTGTGGATAAAAGCTAAGTTTTACAAAATTACATCAACAGCTGAAATAGTTTTGAAATATGACTAGAAACAAAGATATCCAAGAAAAGAGAATGTGCGCCACCTATCGAGTATTCAAAATCATTTTTCTACATTGATTGCACAACTAGTCATCTTTTCGAAATTTGAATAAAAGTCTAGTTTGTTGGACTAATAATGACTGAAATTGTCATGAAATTAAGAAACTAGACTTACTATTAAGAATATAGGACTGATTCCGGCCCAGCAGATTTTCCAGTAAATTCCTGGAGTAAACCCCGTCATTCTTTTGATGTCTCCAGCAAATCTATTCACACCTACATATGCAAATGGAACGCAATTATAATCTTGCTTGAAATCAAAATCCGCACTCGCAAATGATAAATTCTCAACACATCTCATTAAAATGAAACGAGAGTTCTTCGAGATTTGCACTTTCACTGTTTTTTCTGTGCGTGTTTTTCCCATCTTGAGAAAAAATTGCGGGTACTTTTACTCATAAATGAGTTCCAAACCAAGAACATTACGTTTATACTAACATTGGCACCTCGAAATGATTGTACTAAAGTTCAGAACTAAATATTTCTAACTATCAACCATAGAAGTTAACTAAAGCTCACCGTAGAACCAGTTGACGGCGATGGCCTCCAAACACGCTATTAGTAGAATTGAAATAGGGGCACCATGCTGGTCTAGTAGCGTTAACACATAGTTCCCACCCTGAAAACAAATAAAACTGTAAATTAACTGTGAATACCAATAACTTGTTAATCTGTTATAAAATATAACATATGGATACGTTGAGACGGTCATATATTCATTGTACACGGTGTTATAGCATGACGGTTACGTCAAGACGATTTGCAAAACTTTGCGGTAACGATAACAAAAATGGCGGATGAGACGGTCATATATTCATTGTATGTCAAGGTTGGTTGATTATACACTTACGAATGTGCGGTTTGACATGGCAACATACTTAAATTATGTCATAACAATACACTATAACGTATGCTCAGGTTAGCATGGCGTACAATTATAATTTACATGTTGACATAGCAATACACTAGCCTGTAAACATGTTGGGATGACGACGATACATTTACGCGTTTACATGTTGACATAGCGACACATTAATATCTTGGCATAGCGATACATCGATACAGTACAAGTTGGCATGGTGATACATTTACATGTTTACAGGTTGACATAGCGACACATTAATATCTTGGCATAGCGATACATCGATACAGTACAAGTTGGCATGGTGATACATTTACATGTTTACATGTTGGCATAACGACACATTAATATGTTGGCATAGCGATACATCGATATAGTACAGATTGGCATGGTGATACATTTACATGTTTACAGGTTGGCATAACGACACATTAATAGGTTGGCATAGCAATACATCGATATAGTACAGATTGGCATGGTGATACACTTACGTATGTACAGGTTGGGAGAGCACAGAAAAATATTAAGATAATGTATCCTGCCACAAACATCTCTCGTCGTCTTCCGATGGCTCGTGGGTACTCGTCGCATATACCAGTTATGACTGCTTCCAGACCTCCGAACTGAAACAAAACACATATATTTCATCCAGGGAATATTTACAAAAACTGACGATGATTCCTGGGAATTTCAATTGTTTCGATCGAAATATTGGTCAATTTTTTATTTAGATATGGCTTAATTTAGGTATAAACGGCTCCGAAATTCTAATAAATGGCCTTTTTTAAATATTTATAAGAATTGCCAGGAACCATAAACTCAAGAGTATGCAATAATTAACACGTTTAATTTCCCAGTAATTAACCAGTAATTCTTTCTCCTGTTGTAACTTCTCCATCATTTCTAGTAGACCCAAGATTACAAGTAATGTATACGTAATTCCCATTGTTCTTGTATCAAGTTTGGAGAGAAATAAGAAAAAAAAAAAAAAAAAAAATATATGTAATTCGTAACATATTCGAGAAACGGGACCCTGTATACTCACCGTACTGTCTAAGCCTAGCGTGATCAGCATCAGAAAGAAGATGATTGCCCAGAAGGTAGAGCCTGTGAGGGTGGCTATTGCCTCCGGGTACACTACAAACACCAGGCCGGCACCTAGAAGTGATCGATGAATAGGACACACGTACAGTCCATAAGAAATCACAAGTGAAGTGAGGTCAACCTACACGTTTTTATGGGGACTTGTACGTGAACGTGCAAAACTATGGTGACTTTGGGATAAGTTGTCCCGTTCGTAGCGTGTATTCCCATTACTGAGTATATTTAGATATACGGAAAATAATTGTATTTAGGTCCATGGAAAAACAATTTCAGAGGGGGAGGGGCAGTAATCTGTTCGGGTCATAATTCATAAGTTCACGTACGTAAGTTCTCTTAAACGTATAGTTTAGCCTCCCTATTATCAAATGAGTACATTCACAACTTACAAACATTAAAATTATCTGGGAGTGGAAGAATATTGTACCGAATTTTGGGCATAAATGGGACTCATTGGCCAAACTTAATTTAAGGGTATTTTTTAAAGGTCCATGTACAGTATAGCAAGTGATTTTAGACGGTCATATACGGTCAAGAGTACTTTCTGGACATAAATGCAGTGGTTTTTATTAAAACAATATGTTTTCTTTCAATTGAAATACCCATGATGATAAAAAATCAATCGAACAATTCGAAAAATTATAAATAGGGACGCCACGTCAACTTATTTGCTCAAAAGAGGATCTTCTTTTTCTGATTTTTATTGCATGAAAAGATTATTCAACAAGGGGTCTAAAACACCTTCAAAAGTAGAATGGTATTGAAAGTCTAGTTTTGAAGATATCAATTCTCGATGACCAAATTCATGCTGAAAACAATGGATAGCATGAGTTTTCCCTTTCGGAAAATACCATGGGATATGTGGTTTTTAACTTTATCGCATTTCAATACCCATCCCATTTTCAGAAGTTATTAATATAGCCTAGTGTAGAAGAAACTTTTGATATATGTAAAAACAAGATCCTCTTCAAAAAATAAGCCTCACATTTTTAAAAAAGTGACAAGGTGGGGTCCTTATTCATAATTTTTCAGAGAGTTGGATTGATATTTTACTATCATGGGGACTTCGCTTTTAAGAAAACATATTGTTTTAATAAAAAACACTGTACCCAGAATTCGAAAGTACTTATGGTGAAATATATGATTGTCTAAAATCACTTGCCCTACTGCACATGGACCTTTGGAATTTGAGTGAAAATGGGTCTCGACTCGATCCTTGAAAATGGGCCCAAATCATTTTTGTTGACGTTTTATTTACCTTCAGATGCAACTTTATTGACTTCTTTCCCTTGCTGGAAGGCCATGTAGCCAAGAACAGAGAAAACGACAAACCCTGCTAGGAAGCTGGTCAAACAGTTGATTGATGCCGTTAGCAACGCGTCTCTAAGAATCAAGAACATATCGTTTGGTTATATATGAGACGTTATGTAACATCAAAATGAGAACATTGTTGTTATGTTTGGCAATTGAGAATACAAAACCTTTTAAATTCCGCAATATAACTTTTTAGATTTAATGAACATTTAGAATATATTGTAAAGGTTCTTTTGCTATGAAAATCAGTTTTGTCAGGTCAACGTTTAGTATTTTGAATGATTCATCACACTAAATAAAAGAGATTTAGGCTGGCTTATTTGACCAGGTCACCTACTTGTAACAGTTGTTATTGAACTTGTTATAGCTGGATAGAGCCAGAAGAACACCAAATCCTGGTCCCAAAGAGAAGAACACTTGGGCGGCAGCATCTATCCAAACCTAAAAATCACAATAATTATTAGACATACAGTCTATCCTGAAGTTTAGGCAAACTTTATTGCATGTTTTAAATTATTCACATACGTACGTCTTTAGCAAGTTGGGTTTTCATAGAGACAAAATACAAAAATATTTCCTATTCCTAGTTGACTGACGTGATTCAATAATATAAAACTGATCATATATTTTTTAATAAAGTATTTACTAAGTATGAGACTTATGAAAAATTAAAAAGATGGCAGTTCAGTATTGTACATCGTTTACAGCCATGTACAGTGCTTTGAAATACGCCCCCCTTCATAAGTTTGAGAACAGAAAGTCTGCTAATGATTCAATCTTATTTTTGTTTCATTATTACAACAGCTTTTGAAGTTTATGACTTTTTAAATCGCTAAACACAAACAAACTTTTACACAGGATCCAGAATTTTTTTGGCCCTCAAAACCCCAAAATGGGCCGAAATTTTTAAACTTTGAGGCCCATTTTCTTCAAAATTAGGCCTTAAATAAGAAAATAGGGCCTTCAAAGGCCCAGCAATGACCAAAAAGCTCCACATTTTGGAGTCTTTTTTGGCCCAAAATCTTTTTTGGGCCCAATTTTTTTTCTGGGCCCGAGCCCCTAGCCCCCCCCCCCCAGATCCGCCAGTGATACTAGTAAAGTAACTTACGGATGCATGGAGTAATTCCTCCCATCTTGGATTTAAGTAGTAAATGATTCCTTGTAAGGAGCCTTCCAACAATACGCCCCTTATTAGCAGAATTATTAGCACTACATAGGGAAGTGTAGCCGTTATCCAGACTGCCTGTAACACAGAGTGAGATGTTAATTTGAACATTACTACTAACAGTAATTAGACAATGGACTCATCAAAAAATAACAGTCATATTCTTTGTTACAGAATAGATTATGATCGTAAAAGTAAAGAAAATCTATCTATGCCAAGATATGTTCGGGTCTACAGACATACCATTAATAGAAACCTATTTCATAATGCAAATCTTACCTTCCCAGAGCTTTTAATTCCTTTCCAAAGGGAGAAGTAGACTATAAAGAATGTCGCAAGTAGACATAACGATAAAGACCACTTTATGGTACCAAGCTCGTGAAGCCCCGGGGATTTGTGCATCTCTAATACATTTCGCCTGAAGAAAATAAGCAAGTACAATGTTACACTTCTCCTTCGTCGTGAAACAATATGGCACGAATGAGGAATGCGCAAAGCTGTACACGTTTTAACGATAACTTGTACGTGGACGTGTAATATAATGACCACTAGGGGATTATTGTTCAACTACCACTTGACTTTTCCAGGGACCTGCTTTTATTTTATTTCCCGGATACTTTTGTAATCAAACATGCAAAGAAGATTTCAGTGGATAAACTTGTTCGTAGATGGCCATCACTCTACACATTTGCGTATACACACAGGCTGGTATCGAAAGATTTGTCCGCTGTGACGGAGCATACTATTTTTCATAATAACACTAAGAATGCTTCACGATTTATTTTTTAACTCATATGATTCGTTATATCAAAGATAATTACTTACTCCATGCAATGGATATATCATTTACGTGTAACCTCCACTTCTGTTTGAAGTCCAACAACGCTAGGAGTAAAATCTATTGAAAACGGCGCCAGAGTATCAAACTCTAAAATGTACCATTTCGTTTTTAACTTTTTAATGGCATGATATAGTGACACGATAATATTAACATATGTTTTCAGCATAACCCTGAATGTATTAATGAGATATTAATGCATTGGTTCTTTTAAATTTTTTTATAAAAAATAATATTAATATTTTTTGTCCGCTGTGACGGTGCATTTTCACAGTTCACATTTGCAACTGCTCCGTCACAGCGGACAAAAAAATTAAACAATATTTTTTAAGTATTAAAAAGACCAAATACATCAACATCTCATTTATACCCTCATAGTTATGCTGAAACCATGTGTAAATATTATCGTGTCACTATATCGTGCCATTAGAAAGTTAAACAAGAAATGGTACATTTTAAAGTATGATACTCCGGCGCCATTTTCAATTATAGCTTTTCTTCCCAGCGCAATTGGACTTCAAACAGAAGTGAAAGTTACCCGCAAATGATATATCCATTGCATGGAGTAAGTAATTGTGTATGGTATAACGAAACATATTAGTTAAAAAATAAATCGTGAAGTATTCTTAGTGTTTTTATGAAAAATAGCATGCTCCGTCACAGCGGACAAATATTTCGATACCAGCCTGTGATACACGGTTTTTAAAAACGTGTAGCTTTAAAAGAGGAGACAAACAAGTACACACGCTGTTGAACGTCAATTTTGTTAAATTTTCATTTATTCCTTATATGGTATTTTTGGTGGCGATCCTCCCATATATGGCAACGTTACGTTTAAGGGCAAATTAACGATAATTGATATATTTAGATGCTTATATCTTCGTTTAGCCTGTGACACGTGTGTTGATATCAATGACAAAATATGTTCAATAAAAGTAGTTTTTCTACATAAACATTTCAAATACTACTTTCTTGTAAGGAACCTGTTAATTTTTAATCTTATGTTTTCATCAAATGTAATAATTTTTCAAAAACCATCAATTATAAACAGGTGTTTACATGTTCTTCAACATAGTTCAACAGAAGTTATGGTTTTGAAACTTTTGGTGAGGAGTGTTAATCCCCACCAACAAGTTACAAATATTTTGACTATTCTCTACACAATACGCTACATATCTCGGTAGTTCCAATAAACAAAATAAGGAAATACGTAAAAGATAACTTAATTTGTCGATAAAGATTATGTTCTGATCCAGATGGAAACCTTTAAAATCGAGGAAGGTCAGACTGGCATAATGAATAAACCAATGCATAACAAAATACAGCTAATGTACTCTCCCAGGAATTTAAGTTTATACACATTTAGCGACGATAGAGTAATGTCCCTTTCAAGCTCAAACAAACAAACAAAGACGCTTTTTATTCGATTAGAAAAGCTCGCCGTCGCAGTTAATTCTCAAATGAAGTCAGATTAAAGACTGAACTGATTTTTCAAAACTTGGCTGAATTTCAGAATCTTGTATCTAGGCTCAATCATTCATTGTCAGGCTAAAACGTTAACTATGTAGTAAATCACATCCCATGGAAACCATACATTATTTTTTTTAGATAACTGACATATCGTGGACCTTTTGAATTGGACACAAATGTAAACTAGTAGTTATAAAAAGCTAGTTGAGGTACATAAAAATAAAAAAGTACATACACGTGATAATTGATAATTCGTTAATTTGTGATATTGTCATTTAATTAATTTTAAAACATTTTTTCATTATCAAATCGGAATTTACTTCATTGTTGGATGCCTAATTCCTCTGATAGTCTCTACTAGTACCAATATGCCTTGAACCCAAGATGTTTTCTTGATCTTCTTCACTCATGGAATACGATTATGCAATTTAATGGATTGTTACCCTGCGCGCAGAGTCAAGTTATAATGAAGACGAATCTCTTTTAAGAAGTGAAGTCAAACGAATGCAAAGGGTAAAGGATTGCATAATGGATTAAAAATATTCTACAACCCTCCTTTTTCTGAGCATATGTGGAAGCTAAATTCCTCAAACAAAATCTGGTCACACTAATACTCGTATATTCATCAGAATTCGGATTAACATCTCGTAGGTTAATTGGTGTTAACAGTATTTAAGATAGTATGGACTCGCTGGAATGCAGCTTTTGTTATATTTATGTCAAATGTAAACTATTTAGCCAACAGGTTAACGTTTTCCGTTCAACGTAATTGGGCGCATTTCTGTCATCGTTTAACTAATTATAAACACTTGATTTCAATATCTGCTTTATTGTTTAAGGTTTCTGACCTTACCCCATTTGTCTTCATAAACTTAACAAGTTCTCAAAATTCCATCGACATATTTACCGTCAACAAATTGTCACCTTCCCAAATATATTTATAATCGCTATTATTAACCGTGTCCTTCTTTTCCATGGCTGATTATCTCTCTGAAATGTTTGCCAACAATTTCCGAAATTATTTAACCAAATTATTTCATCGATTGAAGGAGCTTTTAGTCTGTGGCTATTTAAAATAGTGTCAACATTTATTCGGAATATGGACTACAAATTATTTAATTATAAATATTCTCCAGTTATTGTTAATCAATAGCTTCTTCCACTGATGAATCGTGCTAAGCGAGAGCAACAGGTTTCGATTTTTACATTGAAGTAAACGCATCTTGGATAGAGATGTGGTCTAATAACTCGTTAATTCGCTCATTGATAAGTTATACTGAGGGAAATATGAGGTAGTTACAAGGCAAATACTAGTAACAATATTATTTTTTTCATGGTGACATAAAAACTGTATTCCAGTCGAGATATTCGAAATTCGAGATATGAGTAACCCATATTAAAAAAACTCTTGCACTATTATTTGAGCTTAAAAAGGATTCGCAAAGTTGATTTTTATATAACGTTCTTTTAATTATTTTAAACATATTCCGCATGATGGGATTGCTCAATTTAACCAAAACTATTACTTGCAATTGCATGCTTCCACTCTTGATTACTCACTCTCTGACTTACTCGCAATTACAATTACTCGCACTCGTATCTACTCATACTACTTACTTATACTTTCTGTCACTCATACTTAATCTTACTCGTACTTGATCTCACTCAAACTTACTCGCACTCATACTAACAAGCACTCATATCAACTCGTACACCTATCAAATTGAACTCATACTTACTCGCAATCATACGTACTAGCACTCGTACTTACTCGTAATATTCTTCTGAGGAAGACAGCGTCTGGTTGACAAAATCAGATTTATTTTTGCCCGATAAATCAGAGAGGGCAGTGCAGTTTTCTGTGTTCCAGGCATTGCCGCAGCTGGCCCAAGGTACCTCCAGGCGAAACGAGGCGAACAGGTAGTACATGGACCAGGCGATTATAGTATTGTAATACATCCCTACGAACGTCGCTATGACGCAGATGCCATACCCTACACCTGTAAAAATGTTATATACCCCTAAAAATATTTCATGATTTGAGCGGGTTGGTCATTAACAGAAATTGCTTTAATTTTAAGATACCATCTCGAAAAAATTGTTAAGAATGTTTGTTTCTAATTTGTAGTATTAAAGAACAGTCAATGAGTACGATTTTATTTCGATCAGATACATATATTTTTATTTCTAATGCACGTTCGAGAAACTCTCTGAGGGTTATCATACATGGTTGTATGCCATCAAAATGGTTAGACAATGTCTATATCACTGGTGATTTAAAAAAATCAAAAGTACACGAGTTCAAATATCTTGAGTAAATAAATCTTACATCTAAAGTTGTTACAATATTCAAGGACGTCCTTGCAATATTCAACAAATGTTTTTTCAAGTAAATAATATTGTTACTGCTAAAGTGACAAGCGCCCTTGTATCAATTGTACCTTGTATCAATTGGTCAATTGAGCTATGCCTTCCTCACCTCGATCATAAATGATTTTGTGATTGGTATTACACGGGATATTACCCCTACTTACAATCATTAGAAAATGCCAGATGAAGTGTCGGGGTCGGGGTCAAGGGCATATAATATCGCTTATGGCCTATAATACATTGACCTATTTCCCCCCTTCTTCGAGGATTTTGCTTTAAAATATCTATTGCAGATTTAAGACCTGTTATACGTACGTAGCATATTTCAATGTATTCCTGAATTCTTAAGGTTTAAAACATGCAAGTAAAATTGTGGATTCTCATAACACATGGTCCCCTTTCCTCATGGCCCTTACTGGCCCTGACTGTGTATAACGAACACGATGTCAAAGAAATTACCGTCCCTGGTTAAGCAAAACCATCATTGTGTAAATGTGTCAAAATCAGGACACTAAATCCCATGGCAATAAAATTGCTACAACTGAATTGATACAAGGAATCAAATAAATGTTCTGATAGAACGAGATAATGAACTATCAGGTAATCCCTGGAGCTAACATAACGGATCATAGAGTTAATTTGTACTTGAGCTTGGTCCTGTAGAGTTAGATTGTTCAGCTGCAAATACATTACGAATACGCTTTCCAAAATTTTGACTTTGCTTCCTTAAAAGCAAGATTCATCTGTCTCCTAGAAATATGGTCGGACACTCAGGTTAATTAGGGAAGTGTTTGACTGACGAACAAACCTCATTGCAACAATCAATTTGATCACAGACTAGTTCACTGGTGATCCACTCGATTACGCTGGTTACCAAAACGGTTCGTTTTGGTAACAAAATGTCGGAACGTCGAAGGTACGATTTTTCTTTTTTCCTTATTTCACGCGTTGTAGGCAGAATCTCCACGACGTTTTTTCTCACAAACGTATATCAGTATCATATGTTTTAGAAAATGTTCATGTTTGCGAAAAATAGCTAAGAAGACAACAGAATCGATTTAATTCCTCGATTTAATTCCTCACTTAAGTTACATCAACGGTTTTGGTTAAAAGTGCAGATCTTAACTGTTTTTCGAAAAACCGTTTATGTAACTTAAGTGAAGAATTAAATCGACGATTCTGTTGTTTTCTGAACTATTTGTTCGCACATATGTAGATTTTCTTAAACATATGATACTGATATACGTTTGTGTTAAAAAATGTCATGTGGGAATTCTGTCTTCAACGTTTATAATAAGGAAAAGAGAAAAATCGTACCTTCGACGTTCCGACATTTTGTTACCAAAACGAACCGTTTCGGTAACCAGCGTAATCGAGTGGATCACCAGTGTAGTTACCACTTATGCATATCTAAAGGTCCGTGTTTCAAGTTAGCCTTAATCATGTGAATTCAAATCCACAGCACTTGCTAACATTGATTTTATACGTTCCAATTTACTCTTAAATTATAATAAATGGGTCGTTTTCAAATTGTTCCACAAAGATTTGTTAATAAGAACAATAAGCTTAATAATTCGGTAGATTAACAACCTGTTCTATTTCCCAGGAATTAATCCGTCAGAATCCTCTAGGCTTAATCCTTAATTTATGGTAAAATATGACATAATTATTGCATACTTCTCGATAATTGGCAATACTATTGTTATAGCTGATCATGATTAGCGCAAGTTACCTCAAACTACAGGTACATACGTTTGGACAAAGGGCATATCATCTCAGACATCTACCTTGAAACAAAGGGCATATTATCTCAAGCTCGTATTTATTGTCACAGGGCATATTATCTCAAGTCTTTCACTATATAGCTTGGAGCTCTTAGGGCATACACTCTCAAGTCCATGGCTTTAAACATGGGGCATATTCAAGTCGAACATAGGGCAAATAATCTGTCCATACCTTTGATTGAGCATAGGGTATATTGTCTTAAGCTCATGCATTTGAAAATAGGGCGTATCATCTGAATCTCATATAATTGAACATATGAAATATTGTCTGAAGCTCATACCTTTGAACATGGGGGTATCGTCTGAAGCTCTTACCTTTGAACATGGGGCATATTCTTTTCCACACTGTTATGCAGCCACATCGCTGGTACTGGCCCAAGGCTAGTTCCATATAGAAGAGTGGCAGACCAGCAACCAGCAACATTATAAAATATGGGATCAGGAACGCACCTGAAAAAAGTATGATTATGTAAATGACAAAAAAGCTCATATTCGCTTACCTGTTTGATTTTTTAATCTTGGAAATCGAAGGTGAAGAAAGCTTTCAATTGCTGTCTGATGATATAATACCTCCATATACCTCCAAATTCAAGACATTATCTATATTCAGGTTGGATATTCAGAAATATGCCACGGCCCTTGTTGAAAATGGGACTCAATTTCGAAAAATGGGCCGGCAATGTATTCAAACAGGTGGCTAACATTTTTCGACCAACACTTTTCCCATTAAATCGTTTTTGGAAACCATTTTTGTGAATTATGAGCTCAGATAAAATTAATGAAGTCGGGATACTTGGATCGTCGGAACACAGGTGTATAAATCGGACATTTTGTGTCTGAAAAAATAAATCTGAATTTATGAAAATCTCCTCTTAATGTAAAAATGGGGTAACACTGTCCCTGATTACAAATACCGGTGACTTTTTATAAGCAAGCACAGTCATGAAAAAGAGCAACATCGTCAATATCATATCCAATTTCAATACCATCAGCAGGGGCGGATCCAGGAACCAACAAGGGGGGGGGGCCCAAATTTCAGGTCAGAGAAAAAACGTCCGCGCTTGCGTGGAAAAAAATTTTGGGCCCCTAAAATCCAAAAGTGGGCCCAAATTTTGAAATTTTGAGGCCCATTTTCTTCAAAATTTGGCTTGAAATTAACAAATAAGGCCTTAAAAGGCCCAGTAATGACCAAAAAGGCCCACTTTTTGGGGCCTGAAGGCCTTGTTTGGCCCAAAAATTTTTTTGGGCCCAATTTTTTTTTTCTGGGCCCACCCAAGGGGGGGGGGGGGGCCCGGGCCCCTGGGCCCCCCCCCCCCTAATCCGCCAGTGATCAGTGTATTTTGAACATACTCTTTATATGAAGTTTAGTGTTTGATATTTGTTTAAGTATTTTATTCGAACATGATATACTAAGAAAATGTGTTAAGAGCATTCAGGAAGCCATAAAAAACAAATACAATAATTCGAAAACATCGTTTGAGTGCTGTAAGTGTGGACATACACACTCCTTATTTGTATTCACTGAGCTGACCGCGCTAGCTCTGTTTATTTTAACAAATCTGGCACAATTTTTAACTTTGTGTCAATACATTTAGAGTTCGTTCAATCATTGCCATGTCGCATTACTGTTTCCTCTCATGTTTTCTTAGTCCGAGTATCCTGCTAGATTTGTCAATCATGACAGTGTTGTATGCATAATTATGATTTTGCATCAAGCACTTGCGTATGCTGTTTAAGCCCAACTGTTCCGGTGTAAAAGTAACTGTTCCAGTGTAAAAGAAATTATGGTCCCCTTTCCTTACGGCCCTTACTGGCCCTGACTGTGTATAAATAATAGGTCACCATATAAATCAATAGAGAGTAGGACCAAAATCTGATAGGACCACCTACCCTTTTACACCTGGCTACCCAAGTGTTCGGACTCTAGATCAGAAGCTATGAGCTACTATATTGATTTGATGACAAAATCAAAATTTAACAGGACCAAACAATTTTTGGGTCATTTTGGGATCGATTGAAAATTTCGAACGCGACGTTGCTGTTTGGCAATGGTGATATCCACAGGTATATTATATCCTTCATTCTTCAAAGGAGATATATCTGGTACACATTTGATGTGATTATTATTGTTGTAAGTCGAAAGACTAGTACTACTACATTGCTTTTCTTTCCAGTCATTTCCATTATATTTTCACCCAAGTCATGGGTTGTTGAAAACACAAGTGGACGCTATTGGAATTTAAAGTCACTCTTTTGTCTTGGCGTTTCTCCGATGGATCTTGGTCGATTGTGACACGTGACCACATGAACATGAACATGAACAACTACATGAACATTAATCCCTGTGGATGAGTCGCATGAATGTTGAGAACCCGCTTCTCTGAACATTATCAGTTGATACCAATAATTCATTCATATAATGCGATATAGTCCCGGGGATATAGTTCTTATATATTAATATAAATTGTCATATAAAAAGGAATAATAACAAAATAATGTTGTGCAATCACCGTATTTGACAAACTGATAATTTTATTAAGTATCTGCGTGCGATCAAAATTGAAGTAATAAAATAGAAAATGATTAATTAACCGAACAAATCTAAAAAAGCAGTAATAAATTAATGGCAAATAAACACTTTGACAATACTTTAAATATTCGCAGTTATTTATTGTAATAGAGGGCAAGAGTATTTTCCAGCAATCAAGATATTGTGATAGAAAACGTAATTGGGTCTTCGTGACTGCTATGAATGAATATCTAATATTCCAACTTAAGTGGCGAGCCTTTACAACTTCCCCATGTGCGGTTTTAACATGTAATCCAATGGGAGAGCTAAGCTTGGCAAACTGTTGAGGGGGGGGGGTGTAGCACCCAACATGCCAATCTTGGAAAGCATTTTTAAGGAGTTTTTATTTCAGATTAGCATTAATACAATTACAGTAGATACTCCGTGCAATTAAACACGATTTCACATAATAGTGATTCACTAAGTTGCAAATTATTTCTGCCAAGAGCACCATTGCATATTAAAACCCGTTTCTATTTGATTCTTGATTTTTTTTAAATAAGTTATCGGAAATTTGAACTTTGGATTTGGAAATTTGGTGTAAATCTACAAACTTTAAGAGGCACGAGCACGTGGTCTGAATTTGGATTTATTAAGGGGGTTGTAGGAAAACGAGCTGCTTGGATTCGTTTACATCAAAAGTGTCAAATATGTGACAATATCTATAAAATTTCTGTATCTTTTTTGTTTTCAAGGCTGCAATTTTGTTATATTTAAACATAGTACCCCCACTGGAAATTTTGTCGCGAACTTCGAAATTCGTTAAAAATAAGAGGAACTTATTCAAAATACTAATATTACATTGAAAAACGCGATCATTTTATGTCAAATCTCAAATCTGAAACATTATACACTGTAGTTATTATATACAGATAAACAACTGTATTACAAATAGTTTTACATGCATTGGTTTTAATAAATATTTTTTCAATATCAATTACAGCAAGTTAACTCCTGATTGTTGAACATAATGGCTTTACAATTGGTTTCAATTGACTTATCATTGCTCTGTTTCAAGTACTGTTAGCGTCACTTCAAAAAGGCAAGTAAACTTTTATTCAAAAGTATGTTAACAATGCGCAAAAGCGATGACACGTATTTAAAGAGCTATCATTTCTCCAAATGCGACCTCGACATCTCCCACTATAATTTTCGCCAAATGGTGCCATAATTTTACTTTCAATGCGCTGAATCAACTGTGTAGTGTATGATATATGACATGGTGCTATACGGTGGTGGGTTGGATATGATATCACCATCAATGCAAATATTTGATCATGTACAGATATTACATTTATCAAAACAGGGGGTATGAACGTCCCATGTCCCTTGGAATAAAATCCCATTTGGTAACTTCTCAAATCAAGCAAGATTGCTTATCAAATAGCCTTTTTAAGTACATTTAGCCATGCAAGCGATACTCATTTCTTAATCTACTGACGTCAAATCATATTTCGACCATTATTGACTACTTAATGATTAAAAACCGAGAAAGTATTTTTCAGAGTCATTTTAAGTTGATAAGCGAGTGTATAAAATTTGGCAATACAATATTTAGCTTTACAATAATAATAGTGTTAAATTTGGCTAAATATCAACTAAAACTAATCAAACGGATATTAAATATGTCTCATATGTATTTTATGTTTATTTTATCTTTGCTATACTTATAGTATGGTCATTAAAACAGCCATTATCACGTACTAGAATTACGAGGGCTGTTCAAAACATAAAAATCTGGTATCATTCGCTTTATCCAACCATTATCATTGAAATATTCTATCGTTTCTATATTTTACATCACCATTAATAACAATTAATCAGATAAATTACGATTTTTGTGTTAAAACAAAGCGAGGAAAGTTCAAAATCTTCATGTACTTACCACCCCCGTTCTTGTAACAGATATAAGGAAACCTCCAAACATTCCCTAAATCCACTGCGAAGCCTATTACAGAGAGAAGAAAGTCTAACTTCTTACTCCATGTTTCGCGCTGGGGTGAGACATCTATCCCCGCCTCGAGTTCCTTCCTTAGGACATTGTCTTTTGGTTTAATACCGTTAATGCTATTGGGTTCAGCTGTTAGCGAGTTATGTTCACCGTCAACTAAAAGTGTCGTGTGCATTGTGTTGTTGTTCAACGCTATAGTTTCTGGTTTACTGGCGCGTTTATCGTTCGTTGCGTCCACCTTGTACCTTTGATGATTTGAGGTAGAAATTTGTGCATTCCCCGGTTGCTTGGGGTCATATTGATTCTCGGAGCTAATACCTGGACGAATTGTCTGACCATTACATATTATGGAACTCACTAAGCTGTCCCCGGATTTTAAGTCATTTCCTGGTAGATTCCACTGAGTTTCATTTGAGGCGGATCGATCCCCAATTTCCACTTGGGGCTCCGAGTCGCTCCTAAGGTAAGCTTTATTGTCAAATGCAATGTCGTTTGCATTTTGGCCACCAGATGGGGTAGCTGCAGACGCCTCCATGGTAAAGGTATTTGATTGGAGAATTTGGATTCAGAAGATATGTAATTTTGTGACATTAGACATGCATCCGGGATAATTACCATTGCTCATTAATAGGCAACATTATATTGACATTTTCCTTGACATTATTTAGCCTCAAAGCAAAACGCAATCACTAAGAACGCTAATCCGGGTATGATTCTGGCATCGGGCGATCAGCTATCTATAATTGTATCTTAGGAGTTACGTGTCAACCTTTCGTAATGTAGGTGTTTTATTCACGATATCTAGTCCTCTTTACTATGTCTCGTTTCGCTTTGATCCAATTTTCAGATTTTCCCCCTACATTGAACGTTATCCGTCTGCGTAGAGATCTAGCTAGATCTTAATGTCGTTCACATGATTGCGCAAAATATACATGTTATATCCAGGGTTTTGCGCAAATCGATTCAAAGAATGTTAATTATACAGCAAGATGTCAGACCTTGATCCTTATTTTAGAAAAGTCGGAACTGTGAAAAATGAAGCATCTGTGAATGATTCGGTTGTAATTGCATCGAATAATTAAGTCCAATCCCGGAATATTTCGTCCCTAGACCTCTGTTGATTCGATCGTGTTGGATTTGTTATTTGACTTTTTTATTTCATCATAAAGAAAGTATCCATCTAATAAAGTCTCAGAACTTCTCCCGAGTGGCTTACTTTATACATTATCTGGCCGTGTTCACAGGTGTTTCATGTTCTTTTCGCACTAAGAACTTAATCCCGGGAACTCTATCCTGGAGAACGATCTGGGCTGTAATCCGTGGTGATCTTAGATTGTGAATCCGTTGATTTGCAGGGGCGTTTTTAAAGTGTATCATGTATAATCTTCACAGTGCTGCACCTAGAAGACATAAACAAATTCGACACAAATTAGTTTAACTTTCACACCAAGGTTCATTTGCTTAGCTATCTTTATCCACAAGATCGGCAAGAGTTCCGGGAACCACAAAAACCCCAATAAGAATCTCGGAGTAGCAAAGCCAAAGTTTAAATAGTAGAGAAGAATTCTGTCTGTGCAGAATAAATAAAATCAGAAGAGAATATGTTTTTTTTAGTTCCGATGGGACGTGCCCCAGACATTCAATTATTTCCACAGAGAAAGAATTGGAAACACATAGTGATGAACTGTATAGTAAATCTAGGTATAGACAGATAATCTATAGTTCATCCCACATTCGAATGCTGAGCAGTTTCATACGCGAATCTTTCTGAATAAATCGAACCATTTTTCTTATGTAATATTTTGATAACCGATATCAAAATGTAGAATGTATTGATAAAACCATTAATCATAATATCATATTTCAGCGGAACCCTTTCTATATGATATCAAAAGTCAACTTTACTTGGATTAAAATGACTTGGATTGGAATTGAATTGACTTAATTGTTTAATTATGATTAATGATTGAATTTTGTTAATCGTGTGTTCATGATTGAGTCAAGTGTGATAACATTTTAGAGCAAAGATACATATACGAAGTTTTATTTACAGACAAATGGGTGCGGAGAGCTACTAATATAACGCTGTCAGGCCCTTAGCCAGGTGGGGTCCATCCCCCGCTGGCCAAAAAATCTTTCAAAACCATGCAGTTTTAAGTGATTTTAGCCATTTTTGGACCTAAATTGTCTAAAAGTGAAGACCCCCCTTGGAAGTTTTCAAAAAGTGACCCCCCTTGGCAAATCCTGGCTACGGGCCTTGCTGTCTTAGAAAGATGAATACAGTGAGGATGAACGATAATGGCATTTTTTCTTAGTTGATTTTCCAGAATAATTCAGTAGTCTTGAATGACTCTTTCCAAATGTAACAAGCATGTAGCGTAGCCAAGCAGTAATTGACTCCCAAAACCTAAATACAGAAAATACTAATGCCATTAGTACCCCAATTTTTGGAAAGGACCCAGATTTTTGAAAGCCCTTGGGTCCTGGGCCTAGCGCGAATGCTGTTAATGGATTCTTTCTTTTCGATTAAAAACTTAAAAATGAAGTCTAATAGAGTAGTGTTTACATTCCTGACTAATACTGTGGTCTAGTAATTATTTTAGGATTTCGAAATGATTCTATATGGGTCTGTGCCCCCCCCCTCTCAAAAAATGAATATAACAATTTGATTTAATCAGAATTTAGAGATAGCAATTCTCAAATTATCGGGGTTCACCGTTCATTTCGTTCATTACCGTGCAGACGACAATTACATCCGGGATGGTGGCGCATCGATGAACTCTGCTTCCTTATATATTCCTATGTGCAATGTACTTGATAAAGTTTTAATATGACATTGTCAAAGGTTAAATCATTTGAAATGTAGAAAAGTTGTACCACATGTCCCAATGAGAAAGCAAGAAACAATGATATACCGTACTAAAACAAATATTTCATTTCATTGAATTGTTGTCAAACCGAGTACCATCTTGTGCCCAAGAAGTTATCATCTCAAAGTGATATTTTGTTCAATTATACTTTCTCGTTCACCACAGTAGGGATTTTCAAAGCTCTGAATATACGTGAATATATGTGGTTTTCTATTGATTCTTTAAACCTTGGGCTTGCTTTTTGCATTTTTGCATCTCGGTATAGTTGTATTGTATTATTCCACTGTTGGAGAGAACAATAACTATACTATTTAATAAATAAATAGAGGTTCTGGCACATTACGTACAATAGCATGAAATAATTTTGAATCTAAAACTACATAATCCATATGATTCAACCTTACCATCAAAATATATGCATTGGATATACTACGTTATCATCTGGGTTGTTTTCTTTTGTTTCTCCAAGCAAGGTAGTGGTTCCAAATTTCACTGCTAGGGATTCGAAAGTTCCCGATTTCACAGCTGATCAGGAAGTTCCAAACATGTTATCTCTAAAAGGCGTCTTTAAACTATTCAACAGATTTGTCATCACCGCAATGTCATTTGGATGCTAAAAGCTAAGAATAGTGCTAAATTGACTCAAGGTAAATATTAAAACATAAGTGTTTTTATAAGGTATTTAAACTAATCCCAAACACCAAATAAAACACAAAGCACGAATACCAGTTTTAGATAGCAGCGCTATAGATGTTGTTTTCTCAGACACATGGGCTGGTCTGGGTTAAGTCCTTTTACAAACTTTTATTGAAACTCAACCATTTCGTCAAGTGTCGTCGAAGTATTTGGAAACATTCGAAGGTTAAATCAGACAAATATCGGTTTCCGATCGTTCGATTTTCAACCCGATTTACCGTGACATGTCGACCCCGCCCCATATTAGTACCGAACGTGCATGTGTGCCTAACACAATAGAATATTGTTCAATTGTCTGATTTGGAGGTTGATTTGTAAATATAACATTGACTGTAGAAATTGTACAATATTACATATGTGCCTAGTTTTGTATCGCTTTACTTGGTCTAGATCTTCAACTTAATATTTCAGGTCAATTTAAGGATAAATTCAAGATTTCGATTTCGTGATCGTTGTCATGATTCATTGTCTATGCCACGTTAAGATATCAAGATCGGTGTCACTAATAGATGTCTCTATAAATCTATACCATGTCAGGATGTCAAGATCGGTGTCATGAATAGGTGTCTTTGCCACTTTAGAATGTTAAATTCGGTATCATATTTAGTTGTCTTTATTATATGTCTGTACCACTTAAAGATGTCAAGATGGATATCACAATGAGTTGTCTATACCGCACTTTATGTCAAGGTCAACGTGAATTCAATTAAAAAAGTACAACTAGTACATTATATATGTAGACTACCCTATGGTACATGTAGTTTACATTTTTGTAAGACTACCTCATGGCAGTTGGCAGTTGTGCACGACTATCGAATGGTAGTTGGCAGTTGTGTAGGACTACCTCATGGTAGTCGGCAGTTCTGTGAGACTACCTCATGCTAGTAGGCAGTTGCGTAAGACTACCTTTTGCAGTTGGCAGTTGTGTGAAATCTAATGGTAGTTGGCATTGGTGTAAGACTACATAATGGTAGTTGGCAGTTGTGTTAGACTACCTCATTGTAGTTGGCAGTTGTGTAAGTTTACATCATGGTAGTTGTGTAATCCTACTTCATGGCAGTTATGTACGACTATCTCATGGTAGTCGGCAGTTGTAAGACTACGTACCTCATGGTAGTTGGAAGCTGTGTAAGACTGTCTCGTGATAGATGGCAGTTGTGTAAGACTACCCCATCGGTTGGGCTGATACTTTTGTTATTTTCGCGGGTTTGCTTATTTTATGTACTTCGTAATCCCTTATTTCGCCTACTGTCATTTAGATCAATTTTGATGTCGCATTATTTTGCAACCAGATAAAAAATCATATATAAAAGATCAGATATCGTGCGAAAGCAAGAAATTAATATATGTTTAACACAATTCTTTTTGCAACACTGTTCAGAGTAGCACAGCGCAAGGAGATCTTTTAACAAAGCTCCAACGAATGGTCCATTCTGCAAAACTCACCTCAAATGTCCCGACCTTGGTGTTTGACCTTGACCTTTACATTCAATTGATGAACTTCCAAAGTCTGTATATTCCTAAATCATTGTTGAATCTAGTTCTAGATATTCGAGGGAAAAGACCCCATCGAATTCCCTGTTTAACTAAGACCCAAATAGCATTGGCTAATCGGAAGTGTCCATGAAACTATAATCCTCACAGTTAGTCCGGAAACCATTTGGGTATCAAATGCTAACAAAAACTTGCAAAAATAAACTTGTTATTAAGCTATTTGTTTATACAGAGAAAGTTGACACCAAAAACGAAACAAGGGCACTGTAGTATTACAGTATCTAGATTGTGATTTTTACAATTTCCACTTTGTTTCCTGGATGACGATTAAATCTAGCCTGAGATATGCTAGTCGCCATAAATCGATATTTAAATAATTTTGTTTTGAGTCAAAATATATTATTTCTATGCATTATTTTATCTGCTTTGTATTGTCTTTGAATGTGTTAACTTGATTTGCATTAAGCATGTTAATAACATTTTATAAATAATTTTCTTTTATTGCCTTACCTTTCAGTATATGTACAATTTTCATGGAGTGCTGTATATACGGCTCTGAGGTTCTACTAATATATTATAGTCAATTCCCCTATGCAGTTGACTATGCAGAACTCAAAGGAATTGTATTCTGTGTATTCCAGCTGGTTTACAAGAGACGTATTTGGAGAAATGAAATGTTCAGAAACCCAAAGACAGATATTGAACTGTAGCAGTTTAACATAACATTTCTGAGGGATATACAAATATGAGGATTTGTTGCTGAATAGAAAATGCAAATACATTTTTGTCCAATTTAGTATCGGATTTCTTTTGGCTCTGCAGACCGTCTTCGTCAAATCTTTGTATTAAACGGAAGGTTGCGTTTTCATTTTGGGAGATAACTGTATTGAAATGTTAAACACTTCAGAATTTCGTTTCATAACGAAACTTCGGAGTTGAAAAACAAATTAATTTTATTTCATCATTACACCCTCCCAAAAATTCAAACATGTTGATGGGTATGAAGTATGAACTTCTCTAACGAAAGTACTATCCGGCCGTAAATAAACAAAGCACTGTTATTAGGTTGAGGAGACCTACGTGTAGATCAAGTTTAACTTTATTTTATTTAAAAGATGGCACCGTCGCATCTCTATCAGAACTATTATAGTTGCGAATGACTTTCAATAGCTGAAATATACTTATCGCTTATACACTTATGTCTATTTAATCATTACATACGTGGAATACGTTAACTAAAACGTATCATGAAAACCCGGGCATAAGGATATGGTTCTAAAGGTATGAGATCTATTTAAAAAGGCGCAAGCCACCAGCATGCCAAAGTCAATATTTTGCTAACGATAAGCTATAGGCAGTGGAGGTTTAAACGACCTGTAATAAATACTATCAGTCACAAACTGGATGTCGTTGCTCTTTATTTAAAAATGAAATAATAATACAATAAAATAAAAATACAATTAAAAATAAATCTGTGAATGGAGGGAGGGGGAGTTTGTTTGGAAATCTACACCCCGCTCCGCTCATAGTTTTTGTGGTCTATGTTCCTTATGTTTTCCTTATTGTGACAAGTCAGTAACCCCCCCTATCACACCAAACTCGTTCTTACCCGTTCTTGCCAGTCCTACGAAAACGTCGTAAAACGGGCTCAAACTGGCTGTGGTCGGGAAATATGTCTGTAATAATTAGCTTCTTCGTTCTTAAACAGTCTTCAATACGTCCATCTCGTTCGCAGTTCGTTCAGGTCGCACCACGTCGGTGTGCAACGCCGTAGAACGCGTCCCTTAGTCTAGAAGGTCATAATGACCTCTGATAACAGAACGGTATGGTCGGAATCGAATTTTGAATCGATTCAAAATTCTAAAATCACATTCCCGTCTGAGAACGTTCATAAAGTTCGTAAATAGACCTTAGAAAGTTGCAGCTACGTTCATTCCGTTCGCACACAGTTTAGAACCAGTTTTGAAGAACGCAGTGGCAACTTGTTTGGTGTGATAGCTTTATTTTTGCTAACTCATTCATAAGCAGTGTTAAATACGTTCTTAATTAGTTTAAACCCGTTTGCAATGAGTTCTACCTCGTTCTCAACACGTCCTCAGACAGTTCCACTCGTTGTTAAAACGTCCCTAGTAGGATTGAAGTACGACGGTTCCGTTCGTAGTACGTCTAGCTCGTCGTTAGTACGTTGTCACTCGTTCTAATTGTAGAACGTGACGACCACGAAAACATTTTGAGCATTGTCTAAGTTCTAGAGGACCTACCCGTTCGAGTACGTTCGATGAAGTTTGTAAATAGATCCCAAACGGTTCTTAGTACGTCCAGTCCGTTCGTACACAGTTGAAGCCCGTTTTCGAGAACGTAGTGAGAACTAGTTTGGTGTGATAGTAGGGTAACTGAGTGGTTCTCTGATGCGACGTACTGGGAAAGGTATGAATGTATTGCCAGGTGAGGAACTACTACAAAAAGTAGACTACCAAATTGAAAGTAAACCTAACTATAGCGTATTTCATGTTGTACGCTACGAAAATACGCTACGCGTTTCGATCCGCTGATGTACATTTTGTAAGGAGGACAATTTAACAGACTTTTGATGAAAAAACGGGTTGTCTGTATCTTTGGGTACATGCATTGGGGTTAATAAATGAACAAATTCAGTTCTTACATATTGACATTGTTTGTCAGTTGAAGAACTAATCATAAAGGCCCCCTAACATATGAACGAATCCACCAAACGCAGTCTTACGAAGTCAATTCTGGCGATTGGGAACGTAAACATGCGAACTGAAGTGCATCTTTGGGCATGCTTCCGAAGCTTTCCGAAGGGGTACTTACATATACGAACACCCCAGCAAAGTACAGCGTACACGTACTAATGGGAACGAATTTTACTCAATTCCTATTCTCAAGACTGCGCTCAGTGGATTTGTTCATGTGTGAGGGGGCCTTTAATGTGCTGACAGGAAGGAATGTCTTAATCAAAGTTTTTGATGATATTATTAGTTTTATTCAGGCTGTTACAGGGATGGAAACGCGTATGGTAAAGTATTTTCATTTCATTCAAAAAGTAGGCGTAATTTAATTTGGTAGTCTGTGAACGTTTGGTAGCGTGTCCTTACCTAGCAATACGTCCATATTGCTCCCAGTACATCGAGGAAACATTCAGTTGTTATGCATTGACAGCCATTTACTTAGTTTTTGTGGAATGTTGGGTTAAACAAAGAAATATTTTGGTTTTAAAAGTATTCAAAATATGCCAGTTGTTTGTAACCCCTCATTTTTGACAAAGAATAATTTATGGTGTCAATTGGAAATAATTGAATGTTTTTCAGATGTACCTGTACGTACTGGTAGCAGAGATACGCCCGTTTATTTCCGTTTATATGTACGTCGAAAAGATGAAGATTGTAGTTTAAAATCCCATTTAGGACCATTATAACGTTTCATCTCATAATAATACGGGCTAATATCACCTTTAAAAGTTAATAGCCACCTAAGTAAAAAAGCTGAGCATGTGTGTCATATATCATTTTGAAGTTTTTTTATAAGCATTTCAGTGATACTATTTTTCCTCGAAAGGTTTGATGTGATCTGCCATATTTTTAAAGTTAAAACTACCCCAACATCGTAAAATACGTTGTAAGACGTAACACTTTACCCTTGACCGGTTCGTTGAAATTAGGATAACTTTTGAAATAATAATTAGAATACCGTGAAATTTTCACATTTTGTTCAATTAACCATGTGTACGGTTACAATTCGAATTTTCTTATATGGACGCTTGCTAGGATTTTCGATTTATGTAAGGTTTTTCATCCAAAGGGGGCAAGGGGCAAGTTTACCTTTATTTGACCTTCTTATTTAGGTTTGATTTGAATGAAAGATTAACTGCACAACACTGTCTCGGCGAAATTTACAAAACAACAACCGGTTTGTTTATTTTGCAAATAACATCAAAATAATGAGCTGATTTTCGAGACTTTCGAGAAAAATATGTGACGCACCACAAATTCCACACATATCAATTTTTACCAACGCCCCAAACTGCCAAAAGTGAATTTCCCGACTGTTTTTCAATATTCAAAAACATTTTAGAAATATTGTCCTCGAGATCTTGCTACCCTGTGAATTTTATTATGATTAAATAAGGATAAAGCATTTTGTTTTTAGGTTGACTAAACTTGAAAAAATGTGACGCTCGTCGTTTTTGACGTTGTAGGCTGTTTGCGCTCTATGACTTCAGTATGAATGAATGAAATGTCCCTTGGTGTTCTGGTCTTTGATTGTGATATCGGCTCTTGAATGGTGGGGGAAAGGGGGTATTAGACATTGTTTCTTTTTACGTTAGATCATGATTTTGGAATATATGGGGTTTGTTTTTCTTGACTGGTATGCACTTAGAGTTTGCATTTTCTTGCTAAGTTCCATAACAACGTTTGGTCCTTTCCCTTTGGCACATGTGCTTAGATATTGATCATTGTTTTGTTTTGGTATTTTGACGCCATAATGTTACGGTAAAAAGATGTCCCCAGTTCCGTGCGAACTGTAACTACTAATTGACACCAATACATCTAGTTTTTCTAGAATGTACGTTGTACTCGTCGGAAACTCTATACGCTTCACCAACCCTAATTCACTTTCACAGTTTCAATCTGATATGTCTTCTTTTGTTTGACATAAGTTTTGTTTCTTAGATCCTGTCTACACCATTTGTTTTTTCAAGTATACAAGATCGATTATGTTGACCTATGACAAAGATGTTGGATTTCCAAAACACGAACATTTCAGACGTCACGTGATTGTATAGTGACCTATATCTGTGTAAGTTGATCGAATCTGTAGTCAGAGGTTTCTTTGTCGTCTAGAGCTACATGTATCTTGCATAAAATGTCTGAGAATATGGCTATGTTTAGAAGAATGAAGGAGCCTATCTGCCACAAGGGGCTTCTTTTCCCAGCATACATGCACAGAGGAAGTTTAGAGCAACTCGAGACCTGGCAGATGAGGCCCGACGACATTTTAGTGGATGGTTGGACAAGATCAGGTCAAACATCTTTTTATTTTCAAATTAGCTTGTATGTATTATGAACGTTCGCTCTTAACATCGTCGTCGTGTAGTTTGAACGTCAATATTTATACTTATAACAAGTTATATTAATGCAATTAAGAATGATGACACCATTTTCACTCCATGTATAGAGTATGGTGAGTTCATCATGGGTCGTTTGTCTCTATTATCAGTTCTAAATATTTTAAGTTTACATACACACACGAACAGTTACACGTAGTTGGTTAATGTTAAAGCATTTTAAAAGTACAATGACTTCTTTTAGAATTTAAGGTAATTGATCACCATCTGGCTTAAAAACGAATTTGTGATAAAGGTGCATAACGGACAACTTTATATTTTATAATCAACTTAGCCATCGACTTCGCTTTCAAATTGAAGCTTGAAAACATTTTAGATCATCCATGTTGGGGTATATGAGCAGCCCAACAAAAAATTGTTTCAATTTTAGAATATTTGTGGCTCATGTCATTCCTTTTCATGTCTATTTTCTTAAAATCACCAAAGTGCATACTTTATTTCAGGAAAACTAAAGATACGATATTATTTACAATAACGTATCATTTTTCTTTTAGAATGGTTACCATTCTTATTAGGCTATGTCGGAGAATTTAAACATTTTTCACTCATTTTTTGCACTTTGAATCCATTATAACTAATTTATAAACCAATATATAACTAATTTATAGCATAGCGTGAATCTTTTGGGAGATATTGTATTTGAGATTGAAAGGAATATATTAGTCGGTCAATTGTACACATTGCTTGTAATTTTTTCACCCCCATAGATCTGATTCTGCCTTTAAGATGATGTTTTCGTTAAAATGTTCGTAAAACATTTATATTTTATAATCAAGTATAAAACACGAGTGTTACCGAAATCTTTTTTGAGCTAGAAACCATTTTGAACCTCCACTTTGGAGTATATGAGCGTCGGGGGGCTATATGTGTGATATAGGTATTTTCTGCCTTTGAACAGCTACCTCAAATCCTTGACAAATATCACGTCATTACGATCGTTCTTGTTGTAAGTTCTTGGTTGTGCCTTAGTGTCAGGTGATGCTAGCAGAAAATCCTCTCATCGAGGCATTATAAATAACTATATCTATGTTCACTGGGGATGAACTGGAAACGAGGGAGGTTTTGCCTCGTATCAAAATGGCCGCGAAAGAAAACGGAGCATTTGGTAAGATTTTTTCTTTTCACGATTTTCGTGCTTTTATTTTTAAAATTACAACTAAATATTTTGGAGGTAAATAGTTCGTAAACTTGATTACAACTCAGAAATCAATCCAGTCATTGCTGAGATATTTACAAATCAATTCTCTCACTTAGGAAGCGAGGCACATTCTTCAATGATAAGAAGAAATGTTAAACTTGCGAAAAACTTTCCTCTTTTAATAAGCGAGGGGATCAATTTGCAACAATGACTGCATTAATTTCTAAGGTGTAGTCATATTCTAAAACCGAATCTCACAAACCACTTACTTGCAAAATATTTAGTTGTTATTTGAAGGACAAAAGCACAGAAATCGTGATAAGAAAAAATCTTACCAAATGCTCCTTTTTCACTGCAGCCATTTTGATACGAGGCGAAAACCTCCCTCGTTTCCAATTCATCCCCAGTGACGATTAGCGATTTTGCCGATTCAGCAATCATCATTAGTGAGTGTTATTTCAGGTAACCACTTGTGTAAATACATATTGTGGTACGTGATGAATAATGGAGCTCCACTGGAGGACGATATCTTTGATCTTATACCATACGTCGACGTATCAAAAGAAGGTATTGTTCTTTTTACATTACGGAGCAAGAAGTGAGATGGGGTAAGAAGGTGTATGCCATAATGGTATATTATATTTCACAACACTAGACCATCACTTGACCGAGCCCTTTAGCCATTTGTTAATTTAGGTTTCACGTTCAAAGAGCGGACCTTCTCGCCTCAAGAAGGCCTTCTGCCCCTTTCTGTAAGACCATAGTGAAACTTATCCTGTAAATATATTAGGCGAGTAGAACCAATGGTCAAATGTGCCAGGAAAGTACTTTTCAAAATACATCATGGGGAAAAGGACAAATGAGGTACCGTTGTAAAGCTAAGGACTTCGGCTTTTCAAATCCACCTGTACCTAAGTTTGAATTTGGGGCGAAAATTGCAAAAACATCCGTTTCCATAGCAACCATTTAAAATATAATCAATTAATCAGAAATCACCTTTCGGATCGCAGAACACCTGTTATCTGTCCAATTCAAATGATAGATATATCAAAATGAAGCTATTGATGTCCCCTTGTTTACAAACAAGAAAATATGCAAATTAGCTAATTTTCATATCTATTATGACATCATAAGTAGATTTTTTAACCGAATTTGAGACATTTTGGAGATGTATCTGATATAATAATGAAGCATTATTTGTAATTGAAAATTATTGTTAGATATTACTTATAATTCATTATTTGAGTTAGAAATAAATTGACTGCAAGGTTTGAAAAGTGTTAAAAATCAAAATCATAGGATATCCTATAAATATTATACTTACATCAACAATATCACTGCTGTTTATCACAATAATATTGAAAATATTTTATTGCTCAATTCTATGTCTAAAGATATACAAAATAGTGTACCTTATTATATTATTATATAGTCCTGCAATATTTCAACTTATGATGGAAATTTTGGATGCATGCTGTATTTGTAACTTTTCAGTATATTTAAGAGGTTCTGAATTCAAATCTGCCGGATGTAATTTGAGTACTGCGGCATTAATCTGTACAGCCATTTCAATATGTGCATCCAAGGGTCCATTTTTCTCAATTTTTTTTCAATTCAATGCATTTATATTTGCTAATTTTAAAGGAAACATATTGATCTAATCAATTTTATTGTGATTTTCCATGATATCTTATATATTTTCCAATTTGTTCCAGGAATTCCAGGTTCAAACAGTTAAAATAATTAAAGGTATTTGATTTTTTCCCTTGTTTTCATCATATTTTGGCCAGTTTTTGGCTTCCAGTATAAAACTGCACATTGTTTAAATATAGCATTAGGTGCACTTATAATGATTGGATTATAACTAAAACTTCCAAATATCATTAATAGAATATGAACAGCAGATTAATACCATAGGTAACATATTTGGTCTATGCAAAATGACATTACTCCAAATTATAGATGTACTATGGTACCCCTACCCCATTCTTCTGAAATAGTGATTTTCAAGAAAAATAAACATATTAATGATACATAATACTAATTGGGGTAACTAGGGTGCCACACTCCCACTAGAGGGTGCTAGAGAACTAATTGGGGTAACAAGGATGCTACTAGAGAACCAATTGGGGTAACTAAGGTGCTATAGGGACTTACTAGAGAACCCATTTGGGTAACAAGGGTTGTACTAGGGGCTACTAGAGAACCGATTTGGGGTAACTAGGGTGTCACTAGGGGCTACAAGAAAACCAATTAGGGTAATTAGAGTGCCACTAGGGGGTACTAGAGACCCATTTGGGGAAAGTATGGTCCAACTAGGTACTACTAGAGAATTAATTGGGGTAACTAGTATGCTATGGGGGCCTACTAGAGAACCTATTCAGGTAACAAGGGTGCCACTAGGGGCTACTAGAAAAACAAGCGGGGCAATCAGGGTGCCATTAGGGGCTACTCGAGAACCAATTAGAGTAACCAGGGCGCAATTAGAAGCTGCTAGAAACCAATTAGGGCAACTAGGGAGCTAATAGGGGCTACTAGAGAACCAATTGAGAAACAAGGGTGTTACTAGAGAACTAATGGGGGCAACTAGGGTGCTACTAGAGAACCAATTGGGGTAAATAGGGTGCTACTAGAGAACCAATTGGGGTAACTAGGGTGCTACTAGAGGCCACTAGAGAACCAATTGGGGCAACTAGGGTGTTACAAGAGAACCAATGGGGACAACTAGGGTGCTACTAGAGAACCAATTAGGGTAACTAGGGTGCTACTAGAGGCCACAAGAGAACCAATTTGGGTAACTAGGGTGCTACTGGGGCCTATTTGAGAACCAATTAGGGTAACTATGGTGCCACTTGGGGGTACTAGAGAACCAATTGGGGTTAACTAGAGCAATACCGGGGGCAACTAGAGAACCGTTTGTGGTAGTTAGGGTGCTATTAGGGGCAACAAGAGAACCAATTGGATAAATAGGGGTTTACTAGGGGCTACTAGAGAACGAATTGGGAAACAATGGTGTTACCAGAGAACCAATGGAGGCAACTAGGGTGCTACTAGAGAACCAATTGGGGTATCTAGGGTGCTACTAGAGGCTACTAGAGAACCAATTTGGGTCAACTAGGGTGCTATTGGGGCCTATTAGAGAACCAATTAGGGTAACTATGGTGCCACTAGGGGGTATTAGAGGCTACTAGAGAACCAATTTGGGTACCTATGGTGCTATTGGGGCCTATTAGAGAACCAATTAGAGTAACTATGGTGCCACTGGGGGGTACTAGAGGCTACTAGAGAACCAATTTAGGTAACTAGGGTGCTACTGGGCCTATTAGAGAACCAATTAGGGTAACTATGGTGCCACTAGGGGGTACTAGAGAACCAATTGGGGTTAACTAGAGCAATACCGGGGGCAACTAGAGAACGGATTGGGGCAGTTAGGGTGCTATCAGGGGCAACAAGAGAACAAATTGGATAACTAGGGGTCTACTAGGTGTAACTAGAGAACAAATTGGGAAACAAGGGTGTTACTAGAGAACCAATGGGGGCAACTAGGGTACTACTAGAGACCAATTGGGGTAACTAGAGTGCTACTAGAGGCTACTAGAGGCTACTAGAGAACCAATTGGGGCAACTAGGGTGCTACTAGAGGCTACTAAAGAACCAATTTGGGTAACTAGGATGCTATTGGGGCCTTCTAGAGAACCAATAGGGGTAACTAGGGTGCCATTAGGGGGTACTACAGAACCAATTGGGGTTAACTAGAGCAATACCAGGGGCAACTAGAGAACCAATTTGGGTAGTTAGGGTGCTATTAGGGGCAACAAGAGAACCAATTGAATAACTAGGGGTCTAGCAGGGGCTACTAGAGAACGAATTGGGAAACAAGGGTGTTACTAGAGAACCAATGGGGGCATCTAGAGTGCTCCCAGAGAACCAATTGGGGTAACTAGGGTGCTACTAGAGGCTTCTTGAGAACCAATTTGGGCAACTAGGGTGCTACTAGAGGCTACTAGAGAACCAATTTGGGTAACTAGGGTGCTATTTGGGCCTACTAGAGAAGCAATTTGGGTAGCTAGGGTGCCACTAGGGCGTACTAGAGACACTAGGGGGTACTAGAGAACCAATTGGGGTTAACTAGAGCAATACTGGAGCAACTAGAGAACCGATTTGGGTAGTTAGGGTGCTATTAGGGGCAACAAGAGAACCAATTGGATAACTAGGGGTCTACTAGGGGATACTAGAGAACAAATTGTGAACCAAGGGTGTTGCTAGAGAACCAATGGGGGCAACTAGGGTGCTACTAGAGGCTACTAGAGAACCAATTGGGGCAAATAGGGTGCTACTAGAGAATGTATTTGGGTAACTAGGGTGCTATTGGGGCCTACTAGAGAACCAATTGAGGTAACTAGGGTGCTACTAGAGACTACTAGAGAACAAATTAAGGTAGCTAGGGTGCTACTAGAGAACCAATTGAAGTAACTAGGGTGCTACTAGAGAACCAATTGGGGTAACTTGGGTGCTATTGCGGCCTATTTGAGAACCAATTGGGGTAACTAGGGTGCTACTAGAGGCTACTAGAGAACCAATTGGGGTAACTAGGGTGCTACTAGAGGCTACTAGAGAACCAATTGGGACACCTAGGGTGCTACTTGGGCTACTAGAGAACCAATTGGGGTAACAGGGTGCCATTAGGGGCTACTAGAAAACGAATTGGGGTAACTAGAACACTACTCGGGGTTGAGACTGAGACGTTCTCTATATCCTGAACTTCGTCCAATGGGATAACAATAACAAAGGTATCAAATATGTCTTCAATTTCTTACTTCAATTAACTGAAAACCCCAAATAGCTATGATCAGATTGCCATTTACTGACAAAAATCATCTTTAACGATGTAATGATTAATAAGAGAATGAGCTTATTAACATTTTTAATGCAGCCTATAGGTAATCTTTTTCCACTTCTTCTGGTGTCAATAAAGTTAAAATTGGTCGGGAAACAAAAATATATTAACCAAATTGCATTAACAAAATTCTAAAGACAGGGTTTGCATTCCATTTCCATAGCAATGGATGCAAATCTGGAAGAAATGGCTATCAGATTCTTGAATAAGATGTCTCTAGCTTTAATTTGCTCTTCATACCTCTTCAGAATTTAAATTCCTTATTTTCACATACAGGTAGTTCCTATTCTCGTACATTATGTATATTAGCACTATTCGTACAACTTGTATTATTGTACCTACCACAAGCTCAGCTTCAAACACCTCTCTTTTGTTTACCATAAATAGCATTAAGAAATATTAAAACCCCAAAAAGAGTTTAAATTTTAGACAGATTGCTCAGCAAAAAAATTTTGGTGCTATATAAACCATTGCCCCTAGCAACAGTGTTTATGTTAAAGATGTTAAGATATCAAAATTCTTATTCAGTGCCTCAAACTCTATAAAGTAAACCCTGTTGCTAAACTGTAATGTTACATTTCTTTCCCACGGAGGCCTTTGAGGGATAACAAAACTGGACTATATAAGATTCAGGGCAAATCGATCAACTAGTATTTGAGTTAGTAAAATTACATTTTTCATGAAAATTAGTGGCCATTTTATATTAAGCTGCCATATTGAAAATCCCTTCTCGAGTAGAGGTTCCACACATATAGGTTATTAGGCTATGAAATCTGAATCAAATCTGTTAACTGGTATTTGGGATCATTACCTATCATAAGGCTTGGATATACATTCTGGAATTAGGCTAGGGGTATCATAATTCAACCATAAATGCCTTAATATAATTTTGGCACAAATAACTTGTAAACTATAGTATTTATTTAATTGTTTTACTTTATATATCATATTCAGTTGCATTTATGTTATGCTCACAATCATAAAATGGGACATGGATTTTCAAGTATTTTTTAATTAACATTTAAAAATACCCCTAGTACCACAGTGCATATATAATACGTGATTCTTTGATACAGAATGGCATTGTATTTTCATAGGTATTTTACTTCAAAATTAGGGCAGATATCACAGAAATTTGAACAAATATAATTTTATTTAGACCAAGCATGATAACTATAGATGCTCATTGAGGGTTACATATTACACATGACCATTTGAGACACACAAGTAAAAAAGAAATGTTTATCATTAATATGTGTATTTTTCTTGAAAATCACTATTATATGAAGTAATGTCATTTTGAAAAGACCAAATATATGTTACATATCGTATTAATTTGCTGTTCATATTCCATTTATGATATTTGGAAGTTTTAGTAGCCAGTCACTATAACTACACTAATTCTTTAATAAAGACAACATGGAATTGTATCCGTGTAGATATTTCACTTCAAATAATGGTAGGTACCACATAAAATTGTCCAAATGTAATTATATCTAGACAAAGCATGATATCTATGGATGCTAATTGATCAAATACACACTACCTATCACATATGTGAGCATTTTAGAGATAAAGATAAAAAGAGTTACAGTATGTATATTGATATTTGTATTTTTCTTGACAATCAATATTTTATAAAAATGGGGTAGGGATTCCATACTTTATTTAATACATGTAGTATATTATGAAGTAATATCATTTTGGAGAGACTACAGATGTAACCTATAATATTTATCTGCTGTTTGCACTTCATTTATTATACTTGTGAGTTTTAGTAATAATTCAGTCACGATAAATACATTTATTCCTTGGTAAAGTGAATATTGAATCTTATTTGTATAGTTATTTACTTCAAAAATAGGGTAGGTACCACATAAATATGACCAAATGTAATTATATTTAGACAAATTATGATAACTATGGGTGCTAATTGATCATTACACATTAAATATTACATATGAGCATTATAAACACCAACCAATATGATAAAAGGTATTATCTATCATTATATGTGTACTTTCTTGAAAATCACTATTTTAGAAGAATGGGGTAGGGGTACCATACTAAATTTATAATATGGAGCAATGTCATTTTGTATAGACCAAATATGTTACCTATGGTATTAATCTGCTGTTCATATTCCATTAATGATATTTGGAAGTTTTACTTATAATCCAATCATTACAGGTGCACCTATTGCTATATTAAAACAATGCGCAGATTTATGCTGGAAGCCAAAAACTGGCCAAAATATGATGAAAACAAGGGAAAAAATCAATGCATATATTGAAATGGCTGTACAGATTAATGCCGCAAAGTACTCAAATTGCATTCGGCAGATTTGAATTCAGGACACTCTAAATATACTGAAAAGTTACAATATAGCACGCATCCAAAATTTCCATCATTCTTAAAAATATGGCAATATATTGCAGGACTAATATGCAGATCACTATTATGCATATTAACATACATGTCTTATATGTCTTATGTAAATAATGCTAGAATAGCAGAAATATGGAAATACATTAATATTGTATGTATACATTTAAAATACAATTTGTTTATTCTTTATAAACATATGATTTATCTTAAAATGGATTTTGAATAAAATTAATAGTTCTAGTACCAATATGATATTATTTAAAAAATATTAACTTCACACGGTAAATGAATACATTTTGGTTTTAATGCATTCTGCCCTCAATTCCTTTAACCTAGAAATTTTTCTGGACATTAGTTACCAATAAGGATACTTTTCATACCCATTTATAAGTAGACTTTTCAAATAAATTTAAAAGCTAATACTCAAATTATTTCTAGCATCAATAATGATATTTGAATAGTAGTAATCCTACCAGTTTATTTATAATTATAACTAATATGTTATCATTAATATCTAAAACATCTCAAAATTACCTAAACATTGGTTGAAAAAAATATAATTATGACATCACAATAAATATGCAAATGAGCAAATAGACATATCTTGTTAATTATGAACAGGGGGCCTCAATAGCTCCAGTTTGGTATATATATCATTAAAATCGGACCAAGAACATATGTACTATGTTCAAAAATATGATTTCTGATTAATTGATTAAATTTTAAATGTTGCCATGGAAACGGCTGTTTTTAGCATTTTTCAAAGCTTGCAGCCAATTTATTTCGAACTCAAATGATGAAATTTAGTTATGTCTACCAATACATTTTCAATTACAACTAATGTGCTATAATAATATCAAATATATCACCAAAATATCTCAAAATCAGCTCAAGAATCTACTTATGACGTCATAATAGATATGCTAATTAGCTAATGTGCATATTTTCTTGTCTATAAAGAAGGGGACATCAATAGCTTCATTTTGATATATGTATCATTAGAATTGGACAGATAACAGGCGTTCTATGATCCGAAAGGTGATTTCTGATTTATTGATTATATTTTAAATGGTTGCTATGGAAACGGGTGTTTTTGCAATTTTTGCCCCAAATTCAAACTAAGGTACAGGTAGATTCGAAATGCTGAGGTTCTTAGCTTTACAACGATACCTCATTTGTCCTTTTCCCCTTCGTGTATATTAATCACAATTTTCAGACCTCCATTCTACTAGCCTATATGGCATGTGCATGCGTGCTACCAACATCCTTTTCCTGTATAAAATCACTAAGCTTACTTATTCATAAAACAGCTCTCGATGTGTTTTCATTTCCCGTGTTAAATGTAGAAAGCAACAGGCAAGATTTCATATAGTTGTCATTTTTAGTGAAAGATGGCGCAGACCCTTTTGACGATCAGGTTACGAACCCGCTAATTGAAATTGATAACATGGACAAAAGTAAGCCTAGAATGGTATGTTCCCATATCCCTTACAGATTGATGCCATACGATGTAAAACAAGGAAAAGTTAAAGTAAGTGAATCATTTTGATTTATTACGTCACCATCCTTTACAGTCTCCGAGCCTTTCGTCCAGTGCCATCCGTACCTCCTGTGCCTTACCTCATGCAGATCTTTAAAGTCCCGCGAAATTTACCCTTCTAAATATTTTGACCTCCTTCAAAAAATGTATTTTTTGCTTTTGCTACTGATTTTATTCGTTATATTTTATAAAATGTTTATTTCTAATGTAGTAAGAATTCATTCGTAAGAAAAATATTGAGTATTTCGTAACAAACTGTTAAAATAAGTGAATACTAATGTCTTAGGAATTTGCAAGGACTTTCCGATCAGAAATTGTTTATTAACACCGTTGCTATGCAGTTCGTTTTGAAGTGACGTCATCTCCATATTCGTAATTTTCAACGTCTAATAAACGAATACCACATGTCGATGAGATGTTTTAATCGATAAAATTGGATTTCTTACATATTTCTTTATCTTGTTGTTAGATAACAAGTTATGACATTGGTGAACACGCCAGAAATCAACATAATATTATTTGAAGCGGTTTTGGAAAATTTTGACAACGCCATCTTGAAAACGTGTTAAGGCCAGTGATTATCGATCTTGACACTTTACAATTTGTTGTTCCGCGGAGATTTTTACCTAAAAACACATCAAATACAACATTTATTACATTTATTTGTAAACGTCATGATTTATGTTATACTAAATTTTTGGCGTTGTTGATTTCGTAATAAAGAAAATTCTAATTTCTGAAGCTTTCTAAGATCGTGCCCCGGGAATTTTAGAACTATTTTAACAACGTCAGAGAGGTAGTGAAGGTACGCAACGAACGAAATGAATTTTGAGAATGCATCCTTTATTGACGTATGATATCGATAGTTTTTCTGACCGGCGTTCGTTGTTGGCGTTCGGTGTCGGCGTTTGACGTCTGTAATAAATCGTGACGCTTTTGTACCCATTTGCAATGGCTAGCCTGTTTTTAATATCATAGTCAAAGTGCAGTGACATTCGAGTACTGCAAAACCCTAAAATGCATGGCAAAACCCTAAACAAAAAGCACGACAAAACCATATTCCGAAACAATGCATGTTCCGATCTTCGACGTCACACCATTCTTTTGAATATGTGTAGGTTATACTGCAGTTACGTAATATAAAGGACGCCACTAATAGTAATTACTTTCTCTGGAAAGACTCTGGTATGTTCATCGATAGCAGTTACACCCTTGACGAATGGATACACGAGCAGTTGAAGGGAGAAGGTAATTGTCCCTGATCTGGACCCTCTGAAAAAAAGTTTCGTTGTCCGGTACTTTCCAACATAAAATGACTGTACCGTTTGAAAGAACAGACTTCCCTCTTCAAGAAAACACCTATTCTATTGAGAGAAACAGGGGCAAAAGGCACCAAAAATGGGGTTAGACAAGGTGGTATTCTGAAGTCTCATTTTCTAGTCATCACGATTCCAAGAAAACCACCTGATGGATTTACTTCAAATTTTCACAATATGTTACATGGAAGGAAGTTCTAGAGCTGATTAACTTTCCGGCGGCCATCTTGCATTCTGGCGGCCATCTTGGATTTTTTTTTAGATAAATCTTATCATCGCGATTCCAGAAAAATCACTCTACAGATGTACTTCAAATTTTCAAATGTTATATGATAAAAAGTCCTAGACCTCATTAGTTTATCGGTGGCCATTTTGCATTCTGGCGGCCATCTTTGAAGTTTTAAGATAAATCTTGTCATCATGATTTCAGGAAAACCAAACGGATTTACTTCAAATTTCCAGACATGTTACATGGTAAGAAAATCTAGAGGTGAATAACTTTTCGGCAGCCATCTTGCATTCTGGCGGCCATCTTGGAAATTTTGGGATAAATCTTGTCATCGTGATTCCAGGAAAACTACCTAACAGATTAACTTCAAATTTTGACACATGTTACATGGTATGAAGTTCTAGAGCTGATTAACTTTTCGGTGGCCATGTTGCATTCTGTCGGCCATCTTGGAAGTTTTTAGATAAATCTTGTCATCACGATTCCAGGAAAACCACGTAACAGTTTTACTTCAAATTTTCACACATGTAATTTTCTTACATGGTAAGAAGTTATATAGCTGATTAACTTTCCGATAGCCATCTTGCATTCTGGCGGCCATCTTGGAAGTTTGTAGATAAATCTTGTCATCACGATTCCAGAAAAACCACTTTACAGATTTGCTTCAAATTTTCACACATGTTACATGGCAAGAAGTACTACAGCTGATCAACTTTTCAGTGGCCATCTTGCATTCTGGCGGCCATCTTGGAAGCTTTTAGATAAATCTTGTAATCGCGATTCCAGGAAAACCACCGGCCATCTTGGATTTTTTTAGATAAATCTTTTCATCGCGATTCCAGGAAAACCACTTAACGGATTTGCTTTAAATTTTCACACATGTTACATGGTAAGAAGTTCTACAGCTGATCAACTTATAAGTAGCCATTTTGCATTCTAGCAGCCATCTTGAACGTTTTTAGATAAATCTTGTCATTGCGATTCCAGGAAAACTACTTAACTGATTTTCTTGAAATTTTTACACATGTTACATGGTAAGAAGTTCTAAAACTGTTACAAAAACAGAGTAAACAAAGCACATGGTGAACAAGATCAGCCTAAAACATAGCAGTGTGGACTTGATGTCCCAGAAAGCAAGATCGCCGAAAAGTTAATCAGTTGAAGAACATCTTACCATGTAAAGTGTAAACATTTAAGGACAATCTGTTAAGTGGTTTTCTTGGAATCACGATGACAAGATTTATGTAAGATGGCCGCCAGGATGCAAGATGGCTGCCGAAAAGTTCAAATTTGCAAATTTGACATGGTGAAAAGTTAAAGAGCTGATTAACTTTCTGGTAGCCATCTTGCATTCTGGCGACCATCTTGAAGTTTCTAGATAAATCGTGTCATTGCGATTCCAGGAAAACCACTTAACAGATTTGCTTCAAATTTTCACACATGTTACATGGTAAGAAGATGTAAAGGGTAAAAATTTGAGGACAATTTGTTAAGTGGTTTTCTTGGAATCACGATGACAAGATCTATGTAAAACTTCTAAGATGGCCGCCAGAATGCAAGATGGCTGCCAAAAAATTAAAATTTGAAATAAATCTGTTAAGTTGTTTTCCTGGAATCGCGATGACATGATTTATCAAAAAACTTCATAGATGTCCACCAGAATGCAAGATGGCCTCCGAGAAGTTAATTAGCTCTAGAACTTCTTACCATGTAACATGTGTGAAAATTTGAAGTAAAACTGTTATGTGGTTTTCCTGGAATCGTGATGGACAAGATCTATCTAAAAACTTCCAAGATGGCCGACAGAATGCAACATGGCCACTGAAAAGTTGATCAGCTGTAGTACTTCTTACCATGTAACATGTGTGAAAATTTGAAGTAAATCCGTCTGATGGTTTACCTGGAATCGTGATGACAAGAAAGTGAGACTTCAGAATGCCATCTTGTCTAACCCCATTTTAGTGCATTTTGCCCCTGTTTATATCAATATAAAAGGTAGCATGTAACCTTCCATGTAACATGTGTAAAAGTTTCAAGAAAATCACTAAAGTGGTTTTCCTGGAATCACGATGACAAGATTTATCCAAAAAACTTCCAAGATGGCCGCCAGAATGCAAGATGGCCGCCAAAAGGTTAATTAGCTCTAGAACTCCTTACCATGTAATATGTGTGGAAATTTGAAGTAAATCCGTTTGGTTTTCCTGAAATCGTGATTACAAGATTTATCTTAAAACTTCCAAGATGGCTGCCAGAATGCAAGATGGCCACCTAAAAAATAATGAGGTGTAGGACTTTTTACCATGTAACATGTGTGAACATTTGAAGTACATCTGTTACGTGGATTTTGTGAAATCGCGATGACAATATTTATCTAAAAAAAATTCCAAGATGGCTGCCAGAATGCAAGATGGCCGCCGCAAAGTTAATCAGCTCTAGAACTTCTTACCATGTAATATGTGTGAAAATTTGAAGTAAATCCGTCTGATGGTTTACCTGAAATCGTGATGACAAGAAAGTGAGACTTCAGAATGCCACCTTGTCTAACCCCGTTTTGGTGCCTTTTGCCCCTGTGTCTATCAATAGAAGAGGTGTTTTCTTTAAGAGGGAGGTCTGTTCTTTCAAACGGTACAATCATTTTATGTGGGAAAGTACCGGACAACGAAACCCCTTTTCTAGAGCCCTTTTGGAAATCAGACCAGGGACTATAAGTTGATCGGGCTTATACACTCTACTATACCTAAAACCTAGAAATGCATAAGATACTTTGTTTGTCTAATTGCATTGTTTAGTATGTTTTTGAAAGTTCCTTAGTAACATCTAACATTCAACCGATAAACCATTAATAAGGAACAGACAAATAAGAACAAATAACAAAAATGACACGGTATGCCATCCTATGTTAGGATAGAATTCCTTTATCAGTATATGATTATATTTCTGTAGTCCCCTATGGAAGTTGGATTGAACATACTAAAGAATGGTGGTCGCACAGGGATGAGATTCCACTTCTGATAATGCAATATGAAGATATGCTTGACGTAAGATATCAAACGTATCCATAATTTCTGCATCAATGAGGAAAGCAATAACACAGGGTGACAATATGTATTGTTAGTACCTCAGTTGAAATACTCGATTTTGATTGGTCAACGAGCGGTAAATAATTTTAACTGTACACCGCGCAATGCATTGCCGGTGAATAATATTCCCAGCATTCCACTAAAATGACGTCATTATCAGACGATAAAATGGCCGCCGCTAGCACTAGCCGTTTCAAAAATGTTGAAGATGAGGATATTATTAGTCTCTTAGAGAGTAAAGACAGTCAAAATACGAAGAAAAATCTAAAACTTTGTACAAAGCTTTTAGTGGACTTCGCCCAGGAGAGTAATTTGTATAGTATAGTATTTGTATTTGCCAAAAAATGGCAAGTGGTAACATTTTGCACGTTAATGCCGTGTTTACTTTTTCCTAATATCCATTGTTGGATTTGGAAGGAGCTGTAAGGAAGATTGCCAAGTTTGTTGACGTAACATTGACTCCAGATATTGTTAGTGACATAGCTAAGAGGGTTACATTCTCTACCATGAAAAAGAAACCAGATTTGTTTGATTCAGTGAAACATTTATTTTCGACACCGTATCTAAGAAAGGGTATGTCATTTTGAATCATCTGGGGGAATCTCGTCGAACATGGATTAAATTAAGACTTTGATCTATCAGTATACTTCCGCCTTTTGTCCAGCTGATCTCACTGTCTGAAGATTTTCCTAGGTAAATATTGTGTCCCTGCCCAATTTGGCCATTTTCAATTGTTGTGCCAATTGACCTTTTCCCCATATAATGGAAAAATAGATGGCATCATGAGTACTGGTAGGGCTATGGTAGGGCTAGAATACATGTAAATGTATTGCTAGAGTCACTTAATTTCTTAATTTAAGAAGCATCCTTGTAAGAGTAGACTTTTAAAGGTTTTTCAGCATTGTGTCAATGGGGATTTAGGGCGACCTTTTTTAGATAACTAGAGAATCATTAGAATTTGAATAACGGTAAATAACGGTGCAAATCAAAGTTGTTTTGATAGAAAATTACACACAGAATTCAAATATGCCATCAAATAGAAGAAAATGTTAGTTTTTAGTGGTTAAAAATGTGTATTCCCAAATATCTTTTTAAAACGAGACTTTAACGAGATTTCAAAGCTATATGGAAAAAGGTCCATATAAGTCACATTGACTGATGTGAACATATCTTGTTTACACTTCGGATGTGTTAAGAAATATTTTCCTTTGATTTACAATAAATGATGTTCCATAAATGCCATACTATTGTTTTCAATCGATCATTCATTATGATGTACTGTATTAGCATGTATACACGCTTGTTGAACACGCAAAAAGAAATAATACAATACTTGAATTTTTTTATTTCTTTATTTCAAATTTAATTAACAAACAACTTTGATTCTTACAAAGAGATAAGGGCTGTCAGCAGATCAGAGAGTGTCTGTATTTATCTTATGGGCTGCTTCTTGTTGAGACAACTTCGGCTTGAAATGCAAAATTTTAAAACAGTTTTTTGTAATCTTCAATCTTAACCTAAAAGTTGGTATCATTCAAAAATGGTTTCAACGGTTAATTCAATAAGTTTGCAACATTGAATATTTAAAAGATTATATATACTAAGATATATATTATCAATTTCTATATTATCTCTTATTATATTCTAATTAGCATTTTAGGACTTTTACCACAGTGATTACCTTCGTATTAAGCAAATTAAAATCTGATTACAGGCGTGTATGGAGATTGGAAAAACAACTTCACTGTTGCTCAGAGCGATAAAATTGACAAGGCGTTACAAGAGAGAATGAAAGACGTAGACATTAAATTCAAATATGAATAGCCTTGGTGATTTATTGCATGAGACTACATCGTATTGCTATAATCTCCAACTTTTTTTTGTGGACGATGTTCGGCGGTCGGGGTTCGGAGTTCGGCGTCTTTACGAATTTGCGTTTGCAATTTGCAATAACTTACAATGTAGTGGAATTTTGTCATGTTAGTGCCCTGTTGTTATTTGAAGATATATAGAAAGCATTCAGTTGTGACAAAAATGACACATGATGCACAAATCTGAGGATGAGACCTGGTAATATTAAGCTTAATCATAAACGGCTGTAGCAACTGTGAAACACAACTGTAAAAGTAAAGAAGAAGATGTTAGTATCCTTGACTGTGATAAATACCGTACATGATTTTATTGATATCGATAGTATTTTTTTATCTTGGTGTGGTTTGATATCAACAATAGCCTATGTAATACTTGTATGTTGTAGTTCAGAACAACAACAATATTTTGCATTGGTGTGAAGCATCAAAACACCAAGCCCCTACCAAAACAATATTGAAACGTTTCTTCCAAGAGAAGTACTATAATATGATGCATATTTTTGTTCATGTGCTCATAGGCTCAAGTTTAAGTACATACATATTGGAGGTATGAGCTTTTGTATATTTCTCCTTAATTATTCTAGCATGATCCTATTCAAAATTGTCCTTTACGCGTCCTTAATACAAGACGGTTATGCTGACATTGTATTAAAAATATGACCAAGAGGTTAGTGTTAAAATTGGAATGCATTTATAAACAACAGACATCACAGTGCATGAGTGTATACTGTAGTTATCTACCGTTTGCTCGGTCACATCCGGGCCTCTCGCCGCTTGATCCAATCTCATATTGCTTTATATTATGTATTTTATGCATGTATTTGTAATATCAGTGCCACATTTTAAAACTATTTTAAAAACTAAATCTATATTTGGGAATTAGAGGAGTATATGTTATTTTAGGAAGTCACTTGTGTAAATACATTTTGTGGTACGTGATGAATAATGGCGCTCCACTGGAGGGCGATATTCTGGATCATATACCATACGTGGATACGTCAAGAGAAGGTATTCTTCTTTTCTCATACCTGTCCGTTCCTCATAGCCATGGAATACTTAATAGTGATTTAAGATGTCGGCTGTAAACGCGAGCATAAAAGGCTTTATGATCATGAGATCTCACAACTCATATAATCAAAATCAGTGCTGACCAAAATGAAATAACGTGACAAGATAACAAATTTCATTTTCTTGTCATCCCTAGTGCTAAATGGGGCGGACCCTTTTGAGGAACATGGTACGAACCCGCTAACTGAAATTGATAAAAAAGACAAAAGTAAACCTAGAATGGTATGTTCCCATCTCCCTTACAGATTAATGCCAAACGATGTAAAACAAGGAAAAATTAAAGTAAGTGAATTATTTTGATTTATTACGTCACCACCCATAAGCTTCGGTGTGTTAGCCACCATGGTTCTGACCTGTGTTTGTTGTTGACGTTCGGGGTTAGGAGTTTGGCGTCTGTAAAAAATTGTAACACTTGTGTACTCATTTGATATAGCTTACTGTGTGGTGAAATTTTGTTATGTTAATGCTCGGATTTTTTTATTTCATATTTAAAGTACAGTAACATGCATCATCCAACAAACTCTCAACTCTAAGGGGTATACTTCTATGTAATCCAATCTGTGATGACACTGCACTGAATATTAGATTTTTATAGGTTATACTGCAGTTACGTAATATAAAGGACGCTACTAATAGTAATTACTTCCTCTGGAAAGACTCTGATATGTTAATCGATAGCAGTTACACCCTTGACGAATGGATACACGAGCAGTTAAAAGGAGAAGGTACGAATATATGTCTAACAGGCAAAAGGTATCGCTGTCGATTGCGTTTTTTTCTAAAGAGCAGATTTGTTTGAAAAAATCTAGGTGTAAGAAATACTGATGCCTAAAATATTTGAAAATTAAAAAGATTGACCATCTTGCTATTTCTAGAAAAATATTTAATATTGCTTGCAATGTGAAAATTCCTATTTTCATTAAAAATTGCACAACGCAGATTTTCTTTAAAAATTTGACCTTAAGCCTACAATGGAATGGCGAAAAACTTGTTTGATAATATGCATTTAAGCCTCAACATAGGAAAACCGGTCTTATCACAGAAATTAAGATTTTGCTACAGAGCCAAAAATGTGCCAAAGATAACATGTATATCCAAAATTATGGCATATTCTATACTTTCTATACTTTCGAACTGTTTTTTTAAATGATACTTTTTTCAGTCTTAGACGATTGGACTCTCTAAAGTCGAGAAAGAGTCGAAGGCAAATATACAAAGCCGGCTTTTAAAGCCGGCTTCTACAGTACATCAGAAGCCGGCTTCTGGCGTCACCAAGAAGCCGGCTTTTAAGAACCGGCTTCGAATGACTTACAGAAGCCGGCTTCTGCAGTTACCAAGAAGCCAGTTTTAAAAGCCAGATTCTCTCTCTCAATCATTTTGTTGTGCATTATGCATCTTATTCTCGTATAATTAGCATGGAAATGAGAAAAAATGAAAATAAGTAAAATTGTAACATATTGCAAGATTTTTTGCAAAAAGTAATTTCAAACCAAAACTATGGGGGAAATTTAATTCTAAGTAAAAATATCGATGAATTAAATCATGTTCGTTAAATAAGAGTAGATTATGCATTGCATTTCTGTTTGATAAAAACGCATCGCTCATTTTACAAAACTGGCTCCAACTTGGAGCCAGTTTGCAAATCAGCTCCCTCCATCTGACACAAGCTATGTAGGGGCAATCTAGCAACTGGGAATCACGGGATACTGTTTCATGATAATTGTTATGTGCATTATGCATCTTATTCTCGTATAATTTGCATGAAAATGAGAAAAAAACTGAAAAATACGTAAAATTATTACATATTTCAAGATTTTTTGGAAAAAGTCATTTCAAGCTAAAACTATGACAGTAAATTGAATTCTAAGCACAGATATCGATGAATAAGATCACATTCATTAAATCAGAATAGATTATGCATTGCATTTCCGTTTAATAAAAACGCACCGCTCACTTTTCAAAACTGGCTCCAACTTGGAGCCAGTTTGCAAATCAGCTCGCCCCATATGACAAATGCTATGTAGGTACAATCTGGTAACTGGAAATCACGAAATACTATCTCACGATTATTTTTATGTGCATTATGCATGTTATTCTCGTATAATTTGCATGAAAATGAGAAAAAACTGAAAAATACATAAAATTGTAATATATTCAAAGATTTCAAGTCAAAACTTTGAGAGAAAAATCAATTCTAAGTAAACATATCGATAAATTAGATCATGTTCACCAAATCAGAACAGATTATGCATTGCATTTTCGTTTAATAAAACGCACCGCTCATTTTACAAAACTGGCTCCAACTTGGAGCCAGTTTACAAATCAGCTCGCTCCATCTTACACAAGCTATGTAGGGACAATCTAGCAACTGGGAATCACGGGATACTTTCTCACGATCATGTCTATGTGCATTATGCATCTTATTCTCGTATAATTTGCATGAAAATGAGAAAAAACTGAAAAATACGTAAAATTGTAACTTATTTCAAGATTTTTTGCAAAAAGTCATTTCAAGCCAAAACTATGAGAGATGGAGCGAGCTGATTTGTTAACTGGCTCCAAGTTGGAGCCAGTTTTGAAAAATGAGCGGTGCGTTTTTATTTAACGGAAATGCAATGCATAATCTGTTCTGATTTAGTGAACATGATCTAATTCATCGATATTTTTACTTAGACTTCAATTTTCTCTTATAGTTTTGACTTGAAATGACTTTTTGCAAAAAATTTGAATTATGTTTTAATTTTACATATTTTTCAGTTTTTCCTTATTTTCATGCAGATTATACGAGAATAAGATGCATAATCCACATCAAAATGATCGGGAGACAGTATCTCGTGATTCCCAGTGGCTAGATTGTCCGTTAATAACTTGTGTTTAATGGTGCGAGCTGATTTGAAAACTGGCTCCAAATTGGAGCTAGTTTTGAAAAATGAGCGGTGCGTTTTTATTAAACAGAAATACAATGCATAATATTTTTGGAATTGATGAACGTGGTCAAAATCATCGATATCCATGCTTAGAATTCAATTTACCCGTATAGTTTTGCAAAAATATGACAATATAAACTATATTCAAAAGCCATCTTCTGCAGTACGTCAGTAAGTAAGAAGCCAGTTTTAAAAGCCGGCTTCTTGGTGACTCCAGAAGCCAGCTTCTGTTGTCCTTCAGAAGCCGGTTTTTAAAAGCCGGCTTCTTGTTGACTGTAGAAGCCGGCTTCTGTAGTACGTAAGTAGCCAGTTTGTAAAAGCTGGCTTCTTGGTGACTCCAGAAGCCGGCTTCTGTTGTCCTTCAGAAGCCGGCTTTTAAAAGCTGGCTTCTTGGTGACTCCAGAAGCCGGCTTCTGTAGTACGTAAGAAGCCAGTTTGTAAAAGCGGTTTTTGCCTTCGAGTACTTCTGCTAAAGTCTATACATGTCTATACTTTCTATACTGTCTATACTTTTGATTTTGGTGAATTTCCTATGTCTATACTTTCGATACTTTCTATACTTTACATTTTGGTGAAACCCCTATGTCTATACTTTCTATACTTTCGATACTTTCTATACATTGTAAAACAATATGTGACGTCATAAGTTTCTTGGTCACTTTCGATTTTGGTCCAGTTAGTATGTGAGCTAGCACCGAAAAATGTACCGGTGTCTGAACAAATTGAAATTACTTGTTTCTTATGTATTTTTATGTGATACTTCAGAAAATTTATGTCTGACTGTATCTGGGGCGAAAGTAGTCAAAATGGGGTTTTTGACCCTAAAAAGGAAAATTACAGGGGGTACATTATCATCATTGAATAATTAATTCAGTTGATCTTCAATCATCATAATAATTTTATTGATAGTTGATGAGATCATTCTGAGGTAGTATGCAAAGTTTCAATGGTCTGACACTCATGGTTGTCATGGAAACCACAATTTTTGATGAGAAGATCCATAATTTTGGTAAAACCTGTACCTGCACCTAATACAGAATGTGGATTATTTTTCAAATCAACAGATATCAGAACATTTTAGCATTCTCAAAATTACCAGGGCAGTTCAAACATTTATTTAAATATAAAGAATATTGCAATTAACATAACTGGTAAGTGTCAAAGACCATACAATTACATTAGGGATCAAAAGTGGGCGTCGCCCTTATAGTAGTAGATGATTGCCATTCTCTATAAATACAGAATTTTAGTTGACTTTTGAGACACATTTATAATGATGTTCTTTGGTTATACTTCATATCAAGCATTTTTGCTAAATAATGTACATCTAAGTGTTATACTTATTGCATGGGGGAGGGGGTAGATGGGGGGGGGGTAACAGAATTGAAAGAGGGCAGAGCTAATCACCCTTAAGTATAAATCTCCTCTACATAGTTCTGGATTTCATGGGGTACATCGTCTTGGTCTTCTTCACATTCATCTCAATATATAGGATATTATAATTCTGCATGATTGGTAAGTATAAAGACCATAGAATTACTCAATTGATCAAAAGTGGGCGTCGCCCTTATCAAAGCCGATGATTCATTCTCTATAAATACTTGACTTTTGAGATACATTTACATTACAACTTCTTTGATTATACTTAATATCAAGCATTTCTGGTAAGTAATGCACATCTAATTGTAATAGTTCTTGCCTGGGGGAGAGTAGTAACAGAACTGGGAGGGGGCAGAGGTAATCAGCCTTAAGTATAAATCTCATCTGCATAGTTCTGGATTTCATGGGGTACATCGTCTGGGTCTTCTTCATATTCATCTCAATATATGGGATATGACAATTTACATGACTTGTCAAACACCATACAATTACATATTAATAAATGATCAAAAGGGGGTGTCATCCTAACAATAGTAGATGATTGGTTCTTTTGTATAAATACAAAATTGAACTTGACTTTAGAGATACATTCATAGTTATATTGAACTGCTGTTATTTTAATTTATGTCAAGCATTTCTGGTAAATACATCTGTGTAAGTATTATAGTTTTTACATTGGGGCGGGGTGAGAAGTAACAGAATTAGAATGTGTAGATCTAATCTGCCTTAAGTATAAATCTCATCTTCTTAATTCTGGATTGCATAGGGTACATCTTCTGGGGTTTTCTGATTCATCTCCTGGTGTTGCCATATCACCAATCTCTTATCTGAGAATATCAGTCAATACCCATTATAACGATGGAGTCATTTAGTTTCCATTCAAGTCCATCTGGTGGTTCAATATGAGGATTTGCAATATGGGCCATACAGACAATAAGTGCTTTATATGGATGAGATGGTTACAACAATCAGACGGTCCTTGATAAGACATACTTAGGAATATTATCTAGAGATGAGATGAGTGTGACACCCATAATGACCTTGGAAAGGCACAAATATCAAGTACAGAAAAAGACATAAAGATGACAGACACCGCAATCAAAGACTTTCTTGATCCATTTACCATTTTGAGGATGAAGGTCATCTCTACGGTCTATCATAAGGAGAATCTGTGCCAAATGATGTCGCTGTCATCTAATTTTAGTCAAAAGGAAAAATTGCATGAAGAGATACCATCTGAGATTAGTTGAAAAAAAGATTTCACGATATAATAAAACATATAAAATTGAAAACTACAGCAGCAAACTACAGCAGCAACAGTGACAGTAAAAAAGTACTCAGAACAAGCTTATAAGATGGTTCAAATTCATTCTGATTCTGAATGAAACATCTTTGAACAGCTTCGATCTTGCTTAGGAACATAAAATTAGCCTAGAATGTCTCCTGCAGTTCCTATTGAGCCCTTGAAACCCATTCCTATGCATGAATATGTACCCACAGGTGCCAAAGGGACAGGGCCAAAATTTGTAATAGAACCCAGCAAGAAAAAGACAACTTCAAAATGTATACAAGTCATAATATAAGGAAAACAAACCCCAACTATCCCAAACCATAATTCAACTTGAAAGCTAGTTTTGTTTCAGGATCTGGCGGAGACTATTTTCAAGATTCTACAATTGCAGATTGATTAGTTTTTGTATGTGATAATTACATCAACAATTCTATAAAGGAACCTGAAAGAGGGGAGGGACACCTTGCCCTATTTAAGGTTGAAAAACAAGAGTCCCTAAAGATTGGAATGAGTTCTTGTATGATGATGAAAACAAGAAGCAAAATACAGCAAAGTGTGCTGCTGGATACTTGAGTTGGAAACAAATGAAGACTGATGTCAGTGGTATTTCCTCCAATATAGACCCTGATGTCTATATATATGCAGCCTTCCTAGCACTTTACACATTCACAGATGAAGTGTCATGCAGAAAGGGCAATAGCAAGAGCACCTTTTTAAAAGGCAAAGGTGGAGCGCCATATAGACACATTCAACTGAATAATTCTCAAATCTGCAAGTGTAGTGGTATATTCTTCCATATGATATTGTTAATATATTAACATCAGGAGGTGAATGAAAATGATCAGACTATGATATTAATACTTAAGACTGACTGGCCATTGGCTCTACCCCCTCCCATTTCTGCTACTACCCCCCTTGCCCCCCAGGGAATAACTATTACAATATTAAGTGTAATCAAAGAAGTTTTAATGTAAAAATATATCTTAAAGTCAAGTTAAACTCCATATTCATAGAGAATGAATTATCTACTATTGTGAGGGCAACACCCACTTACGTAATTGAATGGTCTTTGACACTTACCAATCATGAAAATTGGAATATCCCATATACATGTATTGAGATGAATGTGAAGATGACCCAGAAGATGTACCCCATGGAATCCAGAACTAAGTAAATTAGATTTATATTTAAGGCTTTTTAGCTCTGCCCATTTCCAATTCTGTTACTCTCCCCCCCCCCCCTCCTCCATCCCCAGGCAATAACTATTACAATTAGATGTATATAACTTACCAGAAATGCTTGACATTAAGTATAAATCAAAGATGTTTTTAAGTAAATATACTTCAAAAGTCAAGTTAAACTCTGTATTTATAGAGAATGAACCATATACTATGATTAGGGCGACGCCCACTTTTGATCACATGTTTTATTCTATGGTCTTTGACACTTACCAACCATGTAAATTCTAATATCTTCTATATTGGGATGAATATAATAAGACCAAGAAGATGTACCCTATGAAATCTAGAACCATGAAGATGAGATTTATACTTCAGACTGATAAGCTCTGCCCCCTCCCAATTCTGTTACTAGCCCCCCCCCTCTCCCCCCCCCTGTATCCCCATGCAATAACTATAACACTTAGATGTTAAAATGCTTGATATTAAGTATAACCAAAGAAGTTCAATATAAATGTATCTCAAAAGTCAAGTAAAACTCAGTATTTATAGAGAATGGCAATCAACTACTATTATGAGGGCGACGCCCACTTTTGACCACTTATGTAATTGTATGGTATTTGACACTTACCAGTCACATAAATTGCAATATTCTTTCACTTTAAACAAATGTTTGGACAGCCCTGGTGATTTTTAGAGTGCTAAAATGTTCTAATATCTGTTGATATAAAAAATAATCTATATTCTATATTATGTACAGGTACAGGTTTTACCAATATTAAGGATTTTCTCAGCAAAAATTGTGGTTTCCATGGCAACCATGAGTGACAGACCATTGAAACTTTATATACTACCTCAGAATGATCTCATCAAGTCTCAATAAAATTATTATGATGATTGAAGATCAACTGAATGAATTATTCAATGATGATAATGTACCCCCCTGTAATTTTCCTTTTTAGGGTCAAAAACCCAATTTTTACAAATTTCGCCCCGGATACGGCGCGTCAGACAAAAATTTTCTGAAGTATCACATAAAAATACATAAGAAACTAGTAATTTCAATTTGTTCAGAAGCCGGTACATTTTTCGGTGCTAGCTCACATACTAACACACTACCCTACCTCGATCGCGCATGCGCGAATCTTTTGGCTTTCAAACATGTCGCTTTTGAGTATATCGACTGCTTAGTCAAAAGGTTAATACGTTTGGTGCTCGGAGTGAGTCAATATTGCTATTCGCTACACTTCAGTTGTGCAATAGTGAAGTCCATGTTCCAAGTTATATGATAGTTGAAGAAATAATGTAAATAATATCGTTTTAAATTTTAAAATATTTGATACGTCATAGTACACGGTACACAGCTGCAAAAGTTGATCAATACAGGGTACAAGGAATGTAAATTTTTCAATAGTACAGGGAGCGGGAAAGTAAGCTGATTATACAGACATACTATGTCCCGACCTCATGTACATTTACGTTGCAAACAGTGAAAGTAATGCTAAAAAGGCCGCCCGTTGATGTTTTGAGGTGTCATCAATTGTTATTTAATCCAAATAAAGTAAACATTATTTTGTAGATTTATTATTATTATAATGTTACTAGGGTATCAAATTGAAATAAAATAACGAAATTAAATATCAACACGTTAAGGACAAATGACTATCCGCTATCAGTATTAATGACTATTTGCTACTCAGAATAATCAAAATTGCCTGAACTACATATGAAGAATCTTTCTATAGAACCCCTTGAATGGTCTAATTCACTACCGCCCTAAAAACCAGACCATTCAAAATGTTTTGTTCAAATTCACAAAAATACAGTTGACTAACATACTAGAAAACGTATCCACCTACAACACGATGACACGCAGTTTAATAACAGTTAACTGGGTTTTTTGTTACATATCAATGTAACATTTTCGAAGGGAAACTTCCATGCTCCCTGTACGTTGATAGATTTACTGAAATGTATCGTGTATTGCATTTGGTTTTGCTTCACTGCGCCCACTATTATCTATCTTTGCCTATAGTGGTTTTTTGCCAACAATATTCTACACACTCCTTGATGAATCAATTCTATGTCTGGTAGAACACTAGAAATAAATGTAAAATGTATTTTACGTTCAGAAATATGGAATTAAACCCACGTCCTCCATTTGCAACAAAGCTGTACCCTGTTTCCCTTTTAAACGTGGTCACGTGGTAGGGTAGTGTGACTAAGTGGTTAACGCGTTGGACTGCATTGTGCTAATCGATTTGGACGCCGTAGGGCGCTGGTTACAAACATGGTTTGTACACGTATCTGAATAAAAATTTGTGTTTTAAGGCATACAAATTTGTGTTTTAATAGTCAATTTCCTTGTATTATATTCCATGAGCAGTTCGAAAGTATAGAAAATATAGAAATATCGATTTATCTGAGGCAGTTGGTCTGAAAAAGCAGTTCAAAAGTATAGAAACCGTAGACATCTTATTTGTCCAAAGCATATAGTATGAAAATAGAGATTATCCATGAAAAAGCAGTTCGAAAGAATAGAAACTATAGACATCTGATTTGTCAAAGACAGTTTTGTGAAAAGCAGATAAAAAGTATAGAAACTATAGACATCTGATTTGTCGAAGACAGTTATGGGGAAAAGCAGATAGAAAGTATAGAAACTATAGACATCTGATTTGTCGAAGACAGTTATGGGGAAAAGCAGATCGAAAGTATAGAAGGTATAGAAACTATAGACATTTGATTTGTCGAAGACAGTTATGGGGAAAAGCAGATCGAAAGTATAGAAAGTATAGAAACTATAGACATCTGATTTGTAGAAGATAGTTATGGGGAAAAGCAGATCGAAAGTATAGAAAGTATAGAAACTATAGACATTTGATTTGTCTAAGACATTTCTGGGAAAAAGCAGATGGAATGCATCTGATATGTCGAATACAGTTCTGGGAAATAGCAGATAGAAAGTATAGAAACTATAGACATCTAATTTGGCAAAGACAGTTTTGTGAAAAGCAGATAGAAAGTATAGAAAGTATAGAAACTGTAGACATCTGATTTGTCGAAGACAGCTATTGGAAAAAGCAGATCGAAAGTATAGAAAGTATAGACATCTGATATGTCGAAGACAGTTCTGGGAAATAGCAGATAGAAAGTATAGAAACTATAGAAACTATAGACATCTGATTTGTCTATGTTACAGTTATGTGAAAAGCAGAAAGAAAGTATAGAAACGTCGAAGGCAGATAGTATGAAAAAGGAGATCGAAAGTATAGAAAGTATAGACAATGTATAGAAAGTATAGACATTGCCATAATTCTGGATATACCTCAAAGATAAGAGGAAAGTGTACTAAATTCAAATCCGTTTTTTTGGTATCTGCAAGGAAAAATTGTTAAGACATAAGGCATGGCTCGTTTGAAATGTCTCTTTGTGCTTTTCAACTGTTTAAGATAAACAAAAAATCAAAATATTGAAAAAATCTGTGATAAGAGCTCTTTTCCTGTGCAACGGTTGATAAACCTGATAAACAGAATATTGTTGATACAATTGGTATTTAACTTGCACCGACATTACACTGGCGTCTTACGTATCATCTCCTGCTTTTCGATGCCCATCGCATCTACATTGAGAAAGAAAAAATTGACTTGGCATACCATAAAATACACCGAGTATATTCTTTTATTTCTAGTTCCCTTTGGAAGTTGGATTGAACATACTAAAGAATGGTGGTCGCACAGGGATGAGATTCCACTTCTAATAATGCAATATGAAGATATGCTTGAAGTAAGATATCAAACGTATCCATACTTTCTGCATGTATTTGCAAAAAAGTGAATACATGTATACGGCAATATTTCTTATATACAGGGTGTTCACTCAGTAATGACACGGGATCTCTCCGTGTTTTCATCAGGCGAACAGTTTGACGGATCGATTTCAGATTTTCGAAAATCTCAGAATGATTAGTTTTTGGACTTTCTGGGTAATTTTATCAGATTTGAAATTGAACTTGTTGACATTGTTCACCGCACTTTACAAGTAAAAGTGATTTTGTGTGATTTTCAAACCACGTGATTCATAAACCCTAGCAACAATACCAATATTCATTGTACATGTACATGAAATTATGTATGTAAAATCTCGATTAAACCTATAATATTCGTATCATTCAGAAACATTGGTTGAAAGGTGTGAAGAATGGTAAAACTGGTGTTATTTTCTAAGCTTATTATGCAAGAAACATTAATCTAGAAACTAGTAGAAAGGCACTATTTTTAACATTCGACGCTATCATATTTCATCAAGAATACAGTGACTTCTCTACTTTTTATCGCCCAGCACAGGACGAAAATATCGTAAACATTGAGTGAAACAAATTTCCTTGAATTTCCGAAATGTCCATTGAATTTCGCGACTATTATAATTAGGGGTCACACGGTTAACCGTGGCTTGCGGTTACCGCGGTTCATACCTCCACGACGGTTAGCTCGCACACAATCTTGAAAACCGCGGTTCTTGAAGAACCGTGACATTTTCAGTTTCACTTCAGAAAAATAAAAATGTAAACTCGGAATTAAACTCCATTTCAAGCTTTCGTGTAATACCAATTAACTAAACATCGTCTGGAATCGTTAATCATCATGCAATAATGCGAACCATACCTGATATTTACGACGATCTTCTGATATAGACGGCAGATAACAAAAACAAAAGGAAAATGTTGATAAATTTCACCGGCATATTGACCCGGAAGTGACCTACGCTAACATTTCGGGCAATCCTATTGGTTGATAGAACAGTATACTGTAAAAAGCCGAACGCCGAATGCATTGAATTTGCGAACGAGTCACGTTCTGTGTATTACGTTCGCCTTTGATCCATGTTGAGTCCTGACAAAGTGTTGAACTTAAGTTATATTTCTAAAGAAAACATTTATTCAGTTTAGTGAAGTACTGTGCTAATTTTGCCAACAGTTGACAATTGTGTTGAAAAAACTTGAACATCAAACAAGAAGATCAACACAGTGAAGACATAGATATTTTGGGAGGGAGGGAGGGAAAAAAGACTGAACAAACAAACAAACATTGTGTGAAACTGGATACTTACAATACTGAATACAATAAAACACTGTGACACACTTAGTATGTTTTCTGATTTTCGGATCAATTTCATATATTTTTGCTCATTTCACGAGGCCCGTGAGAACCGCAATCAGAACCGAACCGAACTGTGAAATACAATCACCGAACCGAACCGTGAAATCTCAAACCGTGTGACCCCTAATTATAATATTTCACGAATAAGGACAATTGGCATTTCGCGGCTATTATATTTTGCGAATTTTCAGACTGGCAAAAAACGCGAAATATATAAGCACGCAAAAATATACGCATAAGTTGTGCTTTCACGCATTAGTAGAATCTCCCTACTACTAGCATCACTGCGTGAAAAATGGAATTTCTAGACTAAGCACGTCTAGAAACTAAGTCTAAGCACGCCGGGTGCTTAGGCGTGACTAGTTTTGACACGTCTAGGTACGCGATGAAACCAACTCTAGACATCTCTAGGCACGTCTAAGCACACGCAGTGCAAAGACGTGCTTAGAGTGTGACAAAAAGTCTTGGCACGCCTTGAGACTAATGATTGAAATCTAGAATAAAGTAATTATCGAATCAGGTTAATGTATATTGTTATAAGCAATTATGATCAACATTCATAATTTAGACATATTTTCACTGAAATATACTAATTTCTTTTTATCTTTTATCTATTTTATTTATTATTTTGTATAACGAACTGTTCACGTATACCATGACGTTTTACATATATGATTGAATAATAAATTACGTACTGTTTAAAGCTTGTAAAATACCAAACAAGCTGTACTGATAACTAGTAAAAATATGTTTTCCCGGGCATCTATCAAGTTGTCACATCAAACCCCGGGTATCAAGCAAGATACTAGAATAGTATTATTATTGTGCGTCTGACCAAATGGATGAAAAAACTACGTGTTCATATTGTGTATGCAATGTATCATTACTAATTGATATAGGGCAGGGGCGAAGCCAGCTTTCATTCAAGATGGGGGGGGGGGTGCGATCGCCAAAAACTTTTCGGTTTTCAGTCACAGGGTTGCGATTGTTGCATATATATATTGCACCCCCCCCCTTGCTTCGCCTATGGACGCAACTAGCATATTCATTTAGTTGCCTCTCCCGGTAGATACGTGGAGTTTCTAGACCATCCTACGTCTAGAAATTGCAAGAATTCCACATTTGATGCAGTGATCATACTTGCGAATCATATTGAAATTAATCTTTTTAAGCAAACAAGAATTGTGTACGTTACGCTAAAAACAAAAACTCCTTTGCACAATTACAGAACTATGATTCAAAATAGTTTTTTGAAACCCTTTATTAAAGAGTACTTTCTCCTATAGTGCAGGAAATAATTTTTTGGACGGTGGTCGATATTACATACACCCCCCCCCCCCTCCATAAAATTAGTAACAGGATCCCTTTTTCGGCCACCTATCTAATCAAAACTGATTATGATTGGCGATTTAGATAAATTCGTCAAATATCACAAATAACTGAACTACTAGATCTAGCATTGCAATTGAGGAAATAATTAGATTTAAATATTGATATGCTTCGAAATGAAAACACACGATTGCCAATCTAATGGAAGGGGTACGTAATGAAGACGCGATATTGTGTTTACCGCCCATCGTCCATCGCCCGAAAAGAAAATCGCATTGTCCTGACCAATCCCTCTCACAAAAATCGCATTCACCTCAAAATTCGCTAACAAAATTGAATTCGTCTCCCATTTGAAAATTAAGAGATTTTGAAACGAAAGGAGTATGAAGCTCTGTTTGAGCCTATTAAACACAGGCGAATGGTAATTTCATCATCATGCTCTGACACAGTTAAAGTCATAGACATCTGAGCAAAAAGCGATTTTGTTTGGTCGCTGTTATATTGTTTCGTTGATTTTTTTGATGCTGGTGTGTTTATATTATTCAATAAAATTTTATATTTCAAAATGTCATTTTAAGTCATCGGATATTTTGTAGACTTATGATATAAGACTTCTGGTTTTGTTTCATCATACAAAGTTTAGATATGGACTTCTAACTTCAGATTTCATTGAAGAGAGTTAGGAATATCATGATCGGAATTGAATATGGCCTATGGTTTTATACCCTGTGACAACATGATATTAACCTCTGGCCCTCTGAGCCCTCGAGAAATGTATCGTGTCCCTTTGGAAGGGTTGGTGAAAGTCCCCCCCACCCCCGGCCAAAAAGTCTAGATCATTCAAAAGCGTGCAGCTTTTCACCATTGTGAGCACTTTTCAAATACACCATTAACCATTCCAATGATCGGGATACCATCTTGTATTTCACCAGTCCATGTTATGTCGATGCACCATTGAAGACTCCTCATTTTCCCATAAGAACTAAGTTGATCGAATCTCAAAAGGTACAATCATGCCAGCTTTCAGTCGGGGGGGGGGGGGGGGGTCTCATGTATACATCATGTGTCTGGTATGTACATGTATGATTACAATTGTAGAGTTAGAAATTGAAATGTTTCCCTTTGTCACTTTTATGCATCTTATGTAAACCTGTTTGAACTAATAAAAGACTAAAAATATGATAACTTCATTCGAATTAATTCGCTCCAATTATATTTATTTTCATTACAGGATAGGGAAAGAGTTTTAATTAAAAAATATACTGTGGTTGTGATTTGGGAGGGGGTATACTCTTCTAAGGTGTTAGACCCAGCAATCTTCACAAATGATGGCTACAACTTAAGTTCCAATTTATGAATCTCTCATTAAAATAAACAACTATTACTAAAGGTTCTTTCTGATTGCATTTTACCAATGAAATTATAATCTCTGACTAAACTCACTTAAGATTTTAAGATATGAATTTTAGATCTCACTGTTATTTAACATTAAATGTCTAGTGTGGGATTGAGCGATAAATCTCCCGTCGAGAAAATGGAATGGCATCTCTTATTCGGGGTCTTACTATGCTATTTGGACATTCAATCTCACTTCTGACATTGCGTTTGAGGTACAATTTGATCAAAGAAATTCCAAAATCAGAATCTAGCAAATCGCAATCTTTGCCACAATCATTTATTCGGACATTGCACATACATCTATCGTTCCCAGGAAATTGTACATGTTATTAAAATTTCCAGTAATTCCGGAGACAAATGTATTATTTTGTTCTGTAGCGTCATTAGATGATAGCAAAAAGTAATTGATTGATTGAACAATTTATTTCCTTATTTTGTAAGTGTACCAATGTATAAGATGACATGATTTAGCATAATTACATAATAGTCTATGGCTACCCTTGCATTCGTTCGACTTCTAATGCTGCTAATCACCCATCCCCTATTCACAAAACGACGACCTTTTAGCTGCTTTCCAAATTCAGGCCCGTAGCCAAGGGGAGCGGAGGGAGCGGGCGCTCCCCCTCCTGGCCAAATGATGTTTTGCCAAAACTGTCAAAAAGCCCCCCCCACACTCCCTTGGCAACCCCCCCCCCCCTCCATGGTAAAACCGCTCCCCCGGTAAATCCTGGCTACGGGCCTGAAAATATTATATCTTGATCTATAATTTATAAACATGATTTTCTAGGTTCTAGGTTTCATGGGTCGTCATTCCCCCCGAGGCCACCTTGAAACATACCGATTGAAATGTTTACCCATTCTGGTATGCCAGAGCCCCTCTTATCTGCCGTTTGCGAGAGA